GAGAAGTGGGACGATAGTGCTCGCGTGACTTTGAAGGAGATCATGCCGAGTGTGTCAAATGCCTCCGGGAAGTCGATAAGAGATTTGTCATACAGGATCAACTTCTCCTTAAACGGGGTTTTGCTTGGTGTAATATCTTAGTCCTGTCGAAGTTTGGGCTGGTGTAATCACCAGTTGGACTTTTCACTGCTCCTGGTACCGCTGAGTGTAGCATAAATGGTCTGTGACTCCTGGCATTTTGCCAGTCGCCACCCCTGAAAACAAGAGAAAGAAAGGCTTTCCTTTCCGTTGGCAGTTTTCCTGAATCCAAGATGTTTTAACAAGTCGCGTAAGCGCCTACAGAGAGCTTCAGAGCATGGGTGGTCGAATGTTATATCTACTTGAGGACTTTCCAGTACCGGTTTTCCCTGGTCTTATTGGAGGATTTATTTATTGTCATTGAGTTCTCATTTTCAAGTCACCCGTACAGTCCCTAGGCATCCAGAGATAATACATGCAGCGCTATTCGGCTGTCTGTCAAAAGTCAAAATGAATGTTCTATCCATTTCCAAGCTATTGCGATATTGACTACTTGGACTTCCTAGACCGCATGCCCCCTCTTCATAGGTTTCCTCTCCCACACGAGTCTTTACAGGCTTTTGGGGGTTTGCAAGGAGTTTTATGGCGAGATTTGTGTGGAATAACACCTCGCCACTCCTGTTCTTTGAATCCACCAGTTCCTGAGTGAAGTTTCATGGGTATTTTGACTTTTGTAAACCAAGCTCTCTGCTTTGTTTGCAGAATGCTTTGTGTGCCTCTGTTCGGCTATGCGCATCGTTTCCTAGGTTGTGGCACCACCAGAGGAGCGGTATCGCAGGCTGATTTGTGAGTGATCCCCTTTATCATTTCCCAGTGTTTCTCAACCGACAGCTTTGGACAGTCAATGGACAATTCTGCGTCAGGAAAGTGCCTTCGCAGCTTACTGCAGTCGGCTTTGCAACAGCATCCCACTGTAACAGCTTTCAAAGAGCCAGATCACACAGTATGACTAAGACAGGTCATGAATGCTCAGCGGTTCTTATGACTTTCCAATAGGGCCCCATCTACTGTCGTCTTCAACTTTCTCAGTCAACCCTGCATTTCCGAAGGTGCAAAGCGAATTTCGACTGGATTTTCCTTAAGTAAAAACTTGACCCAAATTGAAGGGGTGGAGCATCGAAATTTCTAGCTGCAGTGAATCTGCCATAACCCAAGTCCCTTATCCTTGTTATGATGAGCACCAGCCGGCTGTGTTCTGCTCCACAGGATGGCAGTCGACAGACGCAGCTTAATAAATGATTGATGTGGCCTACGGGGGAATCGAAGTTTAGTAGGTGGAGTGTCCGCAGCTTTTACTCACCTGGTCTGGCAACTCGTGACATTAGGTATGTCCACCAACCTTGCCCTTGTTCTCGCACCACCGTAGATAGTTGCTCCTGGAATCTGGTTTTGACTGCCAATACCAATGGTGAGCTGATCAACAAGATCTGGTTGCGGTAGGGCGATTAAGAAATCGAGAATACCTCAAAGCCACCAAGGGTCACTTGGTACGACAGCCACCTCCACCTCATGCATGTGTTTCTCGCAAGCAGTTTCGGTCTCACGCACTGGGGGCACCATAATTGACAATGGCGGTGGAGGGCATTAGTTCCGGTGACTGCCTCTAATGACAATTTATAATTTAGTTTACATTTCGTATGGACAGGTAATTTTGCATTGAATGAATGCCATTTTTACAGACACGTTACCTTTAAGTCTTGTTGCGTGTAACAAACTGGCTTCTCGAGGGTAGTTTGGCACAGTATCCACTTGAATCGACATGTTCTGTTTTGGTAGTTGACGCTTTCTGCGCAGGCATGCTATCAAAGGACAGGATATATGCTGGGGTCTTAAAGACCAGTATGCTAGGTGGAGTTAACTTCGCCGGATTTTTTCCTCCCATAGCTGAAACCCCAGTCACTAGAATGTGGTTTAAAGGTGCTCGTCTTAATGCCAGATTCAACTGTCAAGTTACCGACGATTGTAAGCATTGATTGGATAATTACAGAAGAAATAGTGACAGAGTATCTACCCAATGGAGTAAGAACATTAGATTGATACAATATAAGGAATAGGTTTTCGACCTTAACTGGAATGATATTCAGCTTTACAGAGACCACGCATTGCCAACAAGTCATGTTTATCTGATCCACTGAGAAAGATACCCTTACAAAAGTAGCACCTGAAGGTTTGGAAGTATTTTAAAATGACTAAGCCCAGTGCATGGAAATCTAATGTGTAAATACTAGTTAAATTCGATGGCTAGATTGATCAGATTTTTTAAGCGGATAATTCACAAAATAGGTATTTTGCGGTCATGAAGGAGATATAGGATAGGGGCACACGCTTCCTTATCCTGAAGCCGAGCATTTGAAGGCTGGCTTTGAGTATTGTGATTGCTAGATTAAAGTTTACGCTGCATCGCGGCAATGCAGAATTTACAATGAATACTGGAGTAGGTGTGAAGGTGTCGTTAGCGATACCTGACGAAATGGTCGAATTTTTCAACCGGATTTCGATATGCAAATGTTTTGAAGCATTGGACACAGTTGAGGAGGCCCTTAGGGAATTTAAAAAGGTTGCATATACTAATAACATTGTAGGAAGCAGTTCGATACACAGCAACAACCCGATTCTTCTGCACGGACGGGCGAGTTATGTATGCAAATTTGATCAGAAAAGTAGACGCCGACCGAAGGATTCAGGCTTGAAACATTGCATTATTGATATAAGTAAAACTTGAGCACTGTGGTAGAGCATAACTCCATTATGGATAAGGTTTTATTTTGATAAATCATAGTGTTACACAGTACCGTTTCGAGCACAAAATATCGCTCACAGTCATACCAAGTGACTCATACAACTTTCTTGCTTCCAAATTTGCCTTGTCTAGGTAGAGCAGGCACCTGGAGAATTACAGGGTATTCAGAAACCGGCTTTCATATTGAAATGATTACGTGACCACCAACCGACAGCCTGTAATACTGGTATTGATGATGTAATTTTATTGATGAACCTTTATTTCACAAGGCGTGACAGTTGGTGAGTGAAGCAAGGAGTCCCTAGTCAAACAAGCGGAAGGACGTTCATTGTTCACTAGACAAAGAAAACCTCATATTTTCTACTTGGTTGGTATTACTATGAGATCCTTAAGCATTTACACCTGAGTTTTCGTGGAATACCATACACACCCTACATCACCCTCCTCCTCGAAGAGATTTATCTAGGAATGTGGGTTCGATTGACGCATTTTCGGAGTTATGTCTACAGATTTCTATCCAGTGCAATTTAAGACTATGGTGTCAGCTGATGGGATGTCACTTCGAATCCCTCCGACGTGAATATGTCGAATATGGTTCCTACACCTACATCGAACAAGTAGCAATCTTGCACTTTAACAAGAGATATAATAATTCCACACATTATCAGTGTTTACTCCTAACGTTTCCTGTAGACATAGCTGTGATATGTTTAGGTCTGACAGCCTAAACAAGGTTCGAATATATATCACCAGAAGAGAAAAATTTGAATTTCTGCGCTAAAACTTATAAAGAGAAGAGTCAGCCAACGCTCAGAAACTGTCAATATCCAGCTCTTACTACGCTGAACCTCACGATGTCACTCGAAGACTTTCAGAAACACTTTGTATTAACCAACGCAAAAATCAGAACACTGATTGGCAACTCAAGAATCCTTTATTCCTACGCCAACACACAGCCAACAATAATGGTATTACACAAGGTCTAATATCAAATGTTATAACAACAAATCACGGTAATACTTCTGATAGTTTCTTATCTTCCTCTGAACAGCGAACGATGAGACGATGGCTGGCGGATTGATGACCCGCGAAAAATATGGAGGAGTTGGGTTTGAGCAAACAACCATGAATTGGTCGTTTCATCTTGATTTTCATAGATATGACGTGATCTTTTGAATTTGATGGGTGATTGGCCATCACCGCAGAATCTCTGCATTATTTTCCGCCCGAATCCTGCATAAGGACTCATAATCACCTCTGATTTAGTAAGTTTTTCTGCCTGAAATTTTGTTATGGATACAATTTTTCGATGCTCTACCGCTGTGCCGAAGCTTGCCTAAAATCATTTACATATTTTGAATTGCACATCTGTATATGTTACTACTGGTGGTATTCTAGTTACAGAATGACTCCGACTGCTATAACAACCGTCGGTCAAAAACTGATGAAGAAAAGGCCTGGTTAATTACATTTCCTCCACTTGTTGAATTTTGTTTTCTTACTGATATTACTTTTACTGAAATACAGACGGTACTAACCAACATTTTTTTACGTCAAATACACCCTTTCATCTTATATTTGGGGGAGCGGTGTCTATCAGCCGATCACAATGCAACAAATGACAAATAAGTACAACAAAGTTTACCGCCTTACAAGATATGTGCGTTCACTGGAAGCATGGCTTTCAGCTTGTGTGCTAATTGTGAAAATCGTTGGAAACTTGGAGTTAAAAAATGTGCGTGGAAATGAAATTTATGAGCAGCAACATATATCTGAATAGGATATTCTATAATAATCAGATGTTTGGGGTCTCCGTATCTGGCTTTGAGTGCCACTTGAGAGTATGATAAGGCAATATCTGGACGAACACGGATGTAAAGCAACGTTAAATGGACTTCGATTTCTTGAAAGTCACTGCAGTCACTATCATATATGGTCAAAATCCTTACCTTGTGAACTATTGCATGACAAAGTCAAATTTTGGCGAAACACCTTTGGCACAGATAGGCAGCTGTTGTCTTATTTACTGACTCTCTGTGATTATGTAGATCGATTTTATCTGAGAACATAAAAAGTGCATCTTTTTTGCGCAAATTAGATCATTTTTTCATTATTATGTATAAATATTTCGCGTGTAATCACTTCCTTTGTTACTTATAAGTTTGTTTAAACTAGTACAACTGTTCATCCGCGGTTTAATTTGTAGGACGTCTGGTTTGAAAGTTCCGCTGATAAAAGTGAGCGAAGTCTAATTTGCCCGCCATTATTTCCGCGGAAAATATGCCTCTGCGAATATCCTTCGAATGTTTCATTGTTTACGTGCTTCGAGATCCATTACTTAGTTAACAGACATGCGTATCGATCGTATGTGGAGTAAATCGGTCAAATCTCCAGAACCTTCACCTAAAGTCTGTTCTCACCAAGATGGCCATGCTAAGGATTTCTCATCATGTCAAAATTATCGGCAGTGTAGTTTTTTGAAACTGCAGTCGAATCATCCATCCCACAGTAGAGCCGTGTCACGTTAAGATTTCGCTCCAAGATATGAATAACATACTGAAGTCTAAATGTAAATTGCAGTTTCCTTAATGTGTTATGTATGCACAAATACTACTCATTTGTGTATTTTATATGATATCGGTGTGGATTATTTTTGAGCATACACATGGTTAAAGTTAGTATGTGATGCATTCTGTTCAGCAGGACTGCCAGATTTCACATGTTTAGTGTAGAATTTTGGTTGGAGAATGCTCCCTACGGAAAAAAGGAAGACATGAATGTTGCGTCCCAAGTGGAACGTTTAACCTGCCCTACGATTGTGTATTAAAAAGGAGAGGATTGTCATACTGCAGTCCTGTAGTACTAGATCACTAACTTTTGGTCTGTTATGTGTAGGGTTGATTAACGTGATGGCATCAGTCTTCTTCTAAGTTTAGCAATTCCTGCACAAGTGCCATACAAAAGTTTGGAAGCTCTCGTGCTTTTTATTACATGGAGAAGCCAAATATGTATCGACTTGTTTTTGAATTTCATCAAATGTTTTACTGTATTTCAGTGAGATCTTTTGTCGAATACCTGAATCAGTGACAGCTATTTGATGGTGTGCATAATTGCCCGATGAACTATTCATTGCTTCTGAATCACAAATCCGTTTATTTCTTAAGTCTTGTGGCTACTACTTATCTGTAAGTTCCGTTTCTCCTTCAAACGTTCCTCTAACTTAAGTTGTACTATCATTGTGATATTGTATTTTGTAGTAATAAAGTGACTAGTACCTACTTTTATGTAAATTCATTTTTATACAGATGGATCCATATGCAGTGGTGTCTGCAGATATGTTTGATATACCGGCTGCAGAACAAGAAATAACTCTTGGACCTACTGAACAAACAGTAATAACGGAAGGCACTGTTTCGCCAGGATCTGTCGCTCAATCTGTTGTGTCTAGTGTTGGAACGATCACTGTGGGCGCGGGTGGGACTTTAACTCTTCAGAATGCAACAGGTGGCCAACGAGGTCCGCGAGTCATTATGTTGCAACGCAGTGGTACAGGATCTCTACCCACTATACCAAATGCAACTGTTCAACGCGCAGGCATAAAGGTGATTGCATGCCTTATATCTTAGTTGACACTATTTACTAACATTTCCTTAACCATTCATATTGACGAATGCAATTTGCTTGGCTGTAAAGGGAATTCCAAGAAAATATATTGCACTGATTAAGGCACTCTACTCGTACTCATACAGCCAGGTGAGGGCTTACGGCGAGCTGTCATCTGAACTGATGACGACCAGTGGTGTCCGTCAAGGATGCCCATTATCTCCTTTTCTATTCAACTTCATCATAGATGTGTTAATGGACTTAACCCTAGGTGACTTCAGTGACTCAGGGATTGACTTGCTACCGGGGAATAATCTCGTTGACTTGGAATATGCAGACGATATAGTCCTTCTAGGCGAAGACGCTGACGAAATGCAGAGTCTTGTAAACACCTTGAGCCGCAATCCACGAATGTTTGGCATGCGATTCGCTCCCGCCAAATGCAAGATGATGTTACAGGACTGGACTACATCGACGCCTAGTTTAAAAATAGGAAGTGAAGTGGTAGAGCACGTTGACCGCTTCACTTATTTGGGAAGTACCATCAGACCCAACGGGCTGATCTCTGACGAAATCTCAGCACGAATACAAGGGGCTCGTTTCGCATTTGTTAGTTTACGCCGACTCTGGCGTAGACGAGATGTTCGACTATCGACCAAAGGGCGTGTGTACTGCTCATCAGTCCGCTCCGTCCTCCTTTATGGTTGTGAGACCTGGTCACTGAGAGTGGAAGACATGAAAAGACTGGCTGTCTTTGATCATAGGTGCCTGCGTTCTATTTCCCGTGTAAAGTGGCATAATAAGGTGAGCAACATGGAGGTTAGGCGTAGAGTTCTAGGTAAACAGGGGAAATCAATCGACGAAGTCGTGAAGCTACAAAGACAGAGATGGTTAGGACATGTGGTACGTATGCCAAGTCATCGCCTCCCTCGACGAGCAATGTTTGCGGATATAGGGTCAGGCTGGAAAAAAGCTAGCGGCGGTCAAACAAAAACTTGGCACCAGTCAATGAAATCCACAACAGTTGGTCTAAGCCACGTAGGAAGGTGTAGACTTCCCGGTTGGGGTCCTCGGGACGGTAACAATCTATGGTTGGAAACAATTGGTGACATGGCTCAAAATCGTTCTCAGTGGCGCAGATGCATCCACTCCTTGTGACTTATGATCTCCAATGCAACTGTTTTGTTTTTCTTTATTACTCCTTTGTCTCACACCTCTGTTTACTGTTTCTATTATGCTTTTCTTGTACTTTCTTCTCTTGCTTCGCGTGCTACACGGAGTGTGGCGACTTGAACTTCCGCACATTTGTGCAAAGTTCTATGTCGAAAACAGACAGACAGACAGACACTGTTCATGAACACAGAAATTTGCACTTATTCATTTGTTTTTTCTCTTATTGCGAAGGCTCTAAAAATAATAACCATGCCAGGCCAAGGAACTACAGGAAAGCCAATTAGAGCTGCTGGTAAGTTCATTGTATGTTTCTAACCTAATGTTGTTCTTGATTTATTATGAAGTAATTAAATCACATGATTTTAGTCTATCGTGTGATAAAGTCTTAGTCACTTGCTTAGTTAAAAATGCTTTAGTGTTTCTGCATGACGTACCACAGTAATTTGTCGATCTGTTGGTAGATCAGAAAGTTCTTATTATGCAGAGCTTCAGATATGTGGAAACTATTTAAGGAAGTCGCTGGGTAAAGACAAATTGATCCTTCTTAGTTTGATGCTGGTACGTTTCATCTGTTTTTCAGATGTCATTATTTCTGGTTCTACAAATGAAAACGAACGGTATTCTAATTTTGATGCAATTTATGTTCTCAAGTGTCTCAAATTCTTGTAACCTACCCTACCCTTAGGTCCAGTGGTATGCATGTTGTTATACTCAGAAAATATATGGTTATTTTATTTCATCCGATATTTTCAAAGCACCATTACTTACATATGTTGCATACCTTTCTTGGAGACATTTAAAATTGTCTCGTGCTAGGTGGGACATGTGTTACATTTAAACCTATTTCTATAGCATTTCCATCTTGAGAAATAATGGGAGGAACTGCTTTTACATAACTTTGAAACCATTTTTGAAGGCTTTTATTGAGAATTTGCTTACAAGCAATGTCGATTTAACTGACTAACTAACTAGTTTCAACATAGAACTTTGCAGCAGTTCGAGTCGCCACACTCCATGGCTCAAAATGTTTCTCAATGGCGAAGATTCATCCACTCCTTGTGACTTATAATACCCAATAAAACCATATTGTTTTTCGATATTACTATTCTTTTTGCCTCACATCTCTGTTTACTGTCTCTATTTTGCATTTCCTTTTACTTTATTCTCTTGCTTTGTGTGCTACATGGTGTGGCGACTCGAACTGCTGAACATCGGTGCAAAGTTCTATGTTGAAACTAGTTAGTCAGTCCAGAAAGGTATTTCGTCTAACATTTTACGTAAGTAAGTTAAGACAGTTTGGTATCACTCGGTCTCCGCTCTTGTAGTGTACTAATTCCTGTATTCTGCCTATTCTTTATTGCTCCCCCTAAATCTTTCCTGGGCTACCTAAGAAAAACTTTGTCACGCTGCGAAGGGCCCTAAAAGCTGTCAGCAGAGTGAGTCAGGTACTGCTAAATACTTGTTAATACTGTTGTAGGTGTAAACCTGAACTCAGGCAAGAAATCAGTTAATGTCATATTGTCGGGCTCAGTGCATCCTCTCCCCTTACATCTCATCAGGCAGGACTAAAAGCAATTTTAAAAGACTATGCTTGGATGACTGGCTGTAAAACTTCTACTATATCTTATTTGACACTCATTGTATGCTGAGAAAAGTGTTGGACAGGCCACTACTAACTTTACTGTGAAGCGCTAAGGAAACGGCATTTTGTTCTTTCACTATTATATCGTCATTATTTCTGCTTAATTTCACATCTTATCGGCAGTGCAAATGTCGTCCTAATTACTTTCTTCTTACTATGTAATGTAAAGAAGGAATTAGATGCAATATTTTAGTGCATGCTGAAAGTTCCATACTGTATCAAAAGTACTGTTTCTAAGAAAAACATTATTATTCAGCAAACGTCTTGTGATTTATATTCTTGTACTGTTCATTTTTAGTGATTCCCATGCACGTGTTGCAGCGGACAGTCAAAGTGATTCCTTCTGGAGGCCAACAGACGGTTAATTCCAGTGGTATTACCGTCACATCAAGTTTTCCACGTGTTCTAACCATCCGCCCTCAGGTGTCATCTGGGCCCACAGTCCTGACAGGTGCTACTACTCTAACATCTGTGAGACCGGTATGTTTACCATGTATGGATCCACGTGATTTCTGATTTTGAGTTCCTTCCGTATAGTGACTTGTTGTTAGATTTGATCACCAGTGTTAAGCATTTCAGTGATCGTATGGATGAAAAGAACAAAGTTTTAGTCACTGATATATAAAACATTTAAATAAAACATACTTGAATTTCGCATCCAGAGTATGTAGACGATATAATGTCTGTTTTTTGCTGAATTGTTTTATGGCATGCTAAATATCTATCTAATTATGTGGGTTGGTCTCATGTTCTGCTTTCTACGCGTCCTACTGTACTTTGAAAGTGCGTCCTTGGAAAGTAAGAGGCATGCGAAACAACATGCTCTTTTACCCTGAGTGGTTTCTTTTAGTTAATTGCGTTAGTTGGAACAGTGTGGTCCTACATGGTTGTGTAAGAAGTGTAAAAACAATTAATAAGACGGATTCGTATCGATTGAGATGCCTAAGATGTGTGGGACAATCATTTTTCTCTGTGGTCAGTTTGGAAATTTTAGGGGTGGCTTAAACAGTCTGTGAAGTCATTGGTTGTTACCCTGACCAGTGCAGCTGTCTGGTTTGAGTACTCCACATTCTAAGGATTATTGGTTGGGAATGGTTTCTAGTGAGCCAGATGTATTCTCACCTTGTCGTCGAAGTTCTGGGTGTCACTACGTCTTATAGAATTGTTCTCACACATGATCCCACAGGTTTCTCACATTGTAATGTATACTTTGTTGTCTTTTTCTCCTGCGTAGTATTTCATAGTCTAGCAAATTGAATTGGTTCATTTCTGCATGAATTTTCAGGAAAAATAAGTTGTTTATTAAAGAGCAAATTTGGTACATTATGAGCACCAAGGGAACTACCACGCGAAATCTCATGGTTTGTGGGATGACTGAGACAATATCCGGACATCCGGACCAAAGCAGTTAAGTGTCTTGAGGGCAGTGGAGCAACGTCAGGAGCTACGATCCCATTGGTACTTGTAGCCGAAACAGGTTCATCTGCCATTCGACCCTGGAATCCATGTACATCAATTTAGAATCAGGGTTTTCCAGCTCCCGTAGATAGAACTGCATGTAGGTATCAGACATTCACATTTCCTTTTTCTTTTTTGTGAGGAATATTCCCGCTGCATGATGGTAGTGAATTGGATTTAACTGGCAGAGACTATGAACGTGTGGTCACACAAGAGTATTTCCAGAGGAAGATCAAAGTCTTCCCATTATCGAACGTTCCTAGTCGTTTACGGGAGCACATTTAAAATTGGAAGGTTCCTTTTCTTCTCTGATTCCAAGTTTGTTTCAGTGCTGACGGTCCTTGCCGAGCTCTTTTTGTTATATTTCTAGTGGTTTTAGTTTTCTGTGCTGTCATTTTCTTCCTGTTGTTTTAGGGTACAATAATTTTTTCTGGTACACCTACAACACAATTTACACCACCTACTATCCAATATCAGAATTCGGAAGATATCGAGAATCAGATGGTTTTAACTTCAGGAGGTGAACTTATTAATGGAACCCCTCACGGTGTTATTACAGCCCCAGCTGGTTATTATGATACTAATATGCAAACTACTACTACCGCTGCTGGATATGAACATCCAGCTAGTCCATCTGGACGAGAATCAGGGGATGAACAAGAACAGTAAGCTGCATATTACACAGGTTTAAGAATTTTTTTCGCAAATAAGTTTCATGGTTCTTTTATGGATCTGAGGCTTTCATTCTGCATTTTTACTAGGGATTTTTGAATACTGCAGGGTTCTCTGACACTTCTCTATTACAGACAGACTTCTCTTTGCATCTCTAATTATTGCATTCGAGGATTTATTTTCTCATTTTATTTCTGTTTTGGTCTGTTATCTTGATGAAAAACGATGCAATATGTGGAGATTCCTATATCCATAGTATCATATTTCTTATATCATTTTTCTGTGGTATTAACCAGACCTGACTGACTGGTTTCAATTCTGCACCGATGTTCAGCAGTTCGAGTCGCCACACCATGTAGCACACAAAGCAAGAGAATAAAGTAAAAGGAAATGCAAAACAGAGACAGTAAACAGAGATATGAGACAAAAAGAATAGTAATATCGAAGAGCAGTGTAGTTTTATTGGGTATTATAAGTCACAAGGAGTGGATGAATCTTCGCCATTGAGAAAGATTTTGACCCATATCACCGATTAATAATAATAATAATAGCTTTATTCCAAAAACAGTACTCATGATACAGCAAGGAATTTTCAGCATTTCAGTACAATATTGCATCTGATTTACTCAAAAACGACAAAAAAACTAAGAATACACATTACATAATAGTAATAAAACGACTGTTATAGCAGCTACGTAGCAAAATACTGTGCCATACGGAGAAAAATATGTATAGAGTACAAAATTGTAGTAATAATAGTAATACCAACTAAAAATAAAATAGCAGGGTAACGATTTGAACGATAGAAAGTGTGACACCATAAAATACAGAAAGATGAACGATAAAAGGGTCGATTCATCTTTCTGTATTTTATGGTGTCACACTCTATCGTTTAAATCGTTACTCTGCTATTTTATTTTTAGTTGGTATTACTATTATTGTCTCCAACCGTTGGTTTTAACCATCCTGAGGACCCCAACCAGGAAGTCTACATCTTCCTACGTGGCGTAAACTAACTTTTGTGGATTTCATTGACTGATGCCATGTTTTGGTTTGACCACCGCTGGCTCTTTTCGAACCTGATCCCATGTCAGCTAACACTACCCATCGAGGGAGGCGATGACTAGGCATACGTAACACATTTCCTAACCATCCCAACCAGTGTAACTTCATAACCTCGTCAATTGATTTCCCCTGTCTACCTAGCACTCGTCCGAAGTCTAACCTCGATATTGCTCACCATATTACATCACCTAACACGCGAGACAGAAGGCAGGCACCTATGATCAAAGACAGCTAGCCAGCTTCTTCATGTCTTCCACTCTCATTGGCTACGTCTCGCTCATACCCATAAAGGAGGGCGTAGCGGACTGCTCAGCAGCACATCCGTCCTTCCTTTTTCGATAAGCAGCCGAATATCACGTCCTGACCAGAGACAGCGTAAACTGGCTTAAGCGAAATGAGCCGTCTTTATCCGTACTGAGATTTCGTCAGCAAATAAGTAAAGTGGTCAACGCGTTCTACCACTTCACTCCCTATTTCTGAACTATGAGTCGATTCAGTTCAGTCCTGTAGTATCATCTCACATTTGACAGCAGGAGCGAATCACATGCCAAACATTCTGAGATTGCAGCTGAAGTTGTTCGGAAGACTCTGCATTTTGTCAGCGTCTTCACCTAAAAGGACTATATCATCTGCATATGCTAAGTCAACGAGATTATTCCCTGGTAACAAGTTAATTCCCGAGTCGTTGGAGTTATTTCGGCTTAAGTTCACTAGTACATCTATGATGAAATTAAAGAGAAATGGTGACAGTATGCTTCCCTGACGGACACCACTAGTTGTCACCAAATCAATTGACAACTCGCCGTAAGCTTTTAGCTGGCTGCATGAGTTTGAGTAGAGTGCCTTGATCAGTGCACTGTATTTTCTCGGCATTCTCTTCACAGACTCATTACCATAGTACCTCTCGGTCGACAGAATAAAATGCCGCCTTTAGGTCAAAAAATATAACGATAAGTATGCCTATGTCCCAGAATCTGTCGAAGGGTGAATATATGATCAATATACCCTCTTCCTGGTTCTCTCGTGTTTGTACCTCCCGAGCACCACTTAGTCTACGCATTATTATTAAGCCTCGAATTTTAGATACCGTATTAGTCAAGCTAATCCCGCAGCAATTATCACAGAAAGACTTATCTCCCTTGTATATGGGAATAATCAATGACTTACACCAATCCGACGGAACTTCTGATTCTCAGACGCTGCCTAGTACCGTAGTTAACGCAGACAGTAAACTGTCTCCACCTTATTTAAATGGATTCATTCCGTCAGGTCCTGCTGATTCGTCACAGCCTTAGTAACATCAGTTAGGGATCGAAGACCTGTGTCTATATCCCATTGAAGGAGGTGTTGGTTGCTGGGTAAGTTTAGCGTGTCTGTAGGCCAATTAAACTGCTCCTCACACTGTTCTTTCCAGAGTTCCAGTCGTGTATCCTTGGAGGTAATAATAGTGCCATTTTTCTCAGTGATAGTTTCACTTATCATTTACTTTTTACCACTTGTTTCCCTGATAAGTCTAAATAGTTGTCTGGTTCTACCAATCGCCGATGCCTTTTCCATCTCTTTCGCCTTTGTCGCCCAGCACTGTTAACTGTTGGCTGTAAAGGGATTGCCGAGAAAATATATTGCACTGATTAAGGCACTCTACTCGTACTCATACAGCCATGTGAGGGCTTACGGCGAGTTGTCATCTGAACTGGTGACGACTAGTGGTGTCCGTCAAGGATGCCCATTATCCCCTTTTCTATTCAACTTCATCATAGATGTACTAATGGACTTAACCCTAAGTGACTTCAGCGACTCAGGGATTGACTTGCTACCGGGGAATAATCTCGTTGACTTGGAATATGCAGACGATATAGTCCTTCTAGGCGAAGACGCTGACGAAATGCAGAGTCTTGTAAACACCTTGAGCCGCAATCCACGAATGTTTGGCATGCGATTCGCTCCCGCCAAATGCAAGATGATGTTGCAGGACTGGACTACATCGACGCCCAGTTTAAAAATAGGAAGTGAAGTGGTAGAGTACGTTGACCGCTTCACTTATTTGGGAAGTACCATCAGACCCAACGGCTGATCTCTGACGAAATCTCAGCACGAATACAAGGGGTTCGTTTTGCATTTGCCAGTTTATGCCGACTCTGGCGTAGACGAGATGTTCGACTATCGACCAAAGGGCGGGTGTACTGCTCATCAGTCCGCTCCGTCCTCCTTTATGGTTGTGAGACCTGGCCACTGAGAGTGGAAGACATGAAAAGTTTAGCTAGTTGTCTGTCTGTCTCTGGCTGTCTGTTTTCGACATAGAACTTTGCACAAATGTGCGGAAGTTCAAGTCGCCACACTCCGTGTAGCACGCGAAGCAAGAGAAGAAAGTACAAGAAAAGCATAATAGAAACAGTGAGCAGAGGGGTGAGACAAAGGAGTAATAAAGAAAAACAAAACAGTTGCATTGGAGATCATAAGTCACAAGGAGTGGATGCATCTGCGCCACTGAGAACGATTTTGAGCCATGTCACCAATTGTTTCCAACCATAGATTGTTACCGTCCCGAGGACCCCAACCGGGAAGTCTACACCTTCCTACGTGGCTTAGACCAACTGTTGTGGATTTCATTGACTGGTGCCAAGTTTTTGTTTGACCGCCGCTAGCTTTTTTCCAGCCTGACCCTATATCCGCAAACATTGCTCGTCGAGGGAGGCGATGACTTGGCATACGTACCACATGTCCTAACCATCTCTGTCTTTGTAGCTTCACGACTTCGTCGATTGATTTCCCCTGTTTACCTAGAACTCTACGCCTAACCTCCATGTTGCTCACCTTGTTATGCCACTTTACACGGGAAATAGAACGCAGGCACCTATGATCAAAGACAGCTAGTCTTTTCATGTCTTGATCATAGGTGCCTGCGCTCTATTTCCCGTGTGAAGTGGCATAACAAGGTGAGCAACATTGAAGTTAGGCGTAGAGTTCTAGGTAAACAGGGGAAATCAATCGACGAAGTCGTGAAGCTACAAAGACAGAGATGGTTAGGACATGTGGTACGTATGCCAAGTCATCGCCTCCCTCGACGAGCAATGTTTGCGGATATAGGGTCAGGCTGGAAAAAAGCTAGCGGCGGTCAAACAAAAACTTGGCACCAGTCAATGAAATCCACAACAGTTGGTCTAAGCCACGTAGGAAGGTGTAGACTTCCCGGTTGGGGTCCTCGGGACGGTAACAATCTATGGTTGGAAACAATTGGTGACATGGCTCAAAATCGTTCTCAGTGGCGCAGATGCATCCACTCCTTGTGACTTATGATCTCCAATGCAACTGTTTGTTTTTCTTTATTACTCCTTTGTCTCACCCCTCTGCTCACTGTTTCTATTATGCTTTTCTTGTACTTTCTTCTCTTGCTTCGCGTGCTACACGGAGTGTGGCGACTTGAACTTCCGCACATTTGTGCAAAGTTCTATGTTGAAAACAGAGAGACAGACCGCACACATACGACTATCTAATAGTTTCCAGTCAAGAAGTGATTTTCTGCCCAAACACCCAATGCTATCCCTTCACCTGCGAGTCCTCGCGAATTAGCTGAGGGGTCTCCTGACACCCTTAAAGTGAATTTCGCAGATTCACCTTGTTAGCCGGGTGAGGTTAAGTGAATGACTGCACTCGGGTCTTGTAAGCGTGTCTCTGAAACACAACATACATCCATGACTCGAGATGCCAGAGTTTTTGCTAGTGATACCTCTTGTCCGATTTGGCAGAGGGTCCTGACGTCGAATACTCCTATTTGAAGTTGGCGACGTGGCTTTAAGAGGTTATCGGGAGTGTTTCTATGGCTCTCGTCGTTGTTTGTGGTCACAGAGTGAAGTGAAGACGACTCACTAGCCTAAAGAATAGTACAGACTGTAGTGGGGAATAAGAGGATGAAGGTGATGTAGGTAAGGAAGAATGATGCTCAGGAAGTCTTCGTGTACTTTTGGAAGTGTGTGGGCGGTTGTTACTAACCAGCTGCTCATACTGTGGAAGTTAATAGATTCTTCGGGTACCTGAAACAGAAAGAGGGTTAGTTTTGTGTGACCACAGAGCCCAGGGGACAACTAATTGATACCGGTCACACACGGCCTGTATGAACTGTTTTTTGGATTGGTTCCGTATTAGTAAACTCACCACCGGTTACGGACTACTGTGTAGGGTAAGTTGTGACGTATATTTTTTGAGTTCGATCTTTTCTAATCCCCTCTCGACAGAGTGGAGCGACAGCATAGCTGGCATGCCGGTGATCTAAGGGAAACACCTTTCTGCTGTTACATCGCTGTCTCCCTGTAGTACGACTTTGTCCGCAGACAGATCCCCAGCATAGTGTAGAAAAGTTTTACACTACGCCGGTTACTGCTTTTAGTATAATTGCCATCTTAACAACCTTCCTGGTATAGTAGGACCTGCAGGAACAATAGTTCCAGCCAGTGCAGCTTGTTGGGTCATTGCGATATGCAAGCCCGACCACCACGTCGAGGTTGCGACAATCGGTTGGGTTGACCAGACCAGCAGGTACTCACTAAGTTTTGAGATGCATATTATTTTTACAGCCAAATACAGTTTTTAAAATTAGCGAAATTTTTTTGTACTTCTTCATGAAGACCGTATTGATGTGGATTTTTAAAACACTGTAAATATTTGTAAAAACTCTATTTGTAAAAACCCTGTAAATAGTTTACAGATATCTTATTTGCATTAACTCGCCTTATTATGTGTAAAGGCTGCTGAATAACAGTCAAACTTTTAGACACCAAAAGTCAACGTACGTGCTCCAACTTTTTGTTAATTAGTTTCTGACATGTTGTTTTTTCTTGTGTTTAGTATATGTGAATTTAATGATTTATTTTTCTCTTAGTCAATATGTCCTTTCAAAGTCTATCCAACTTTAAATTCTCTTAGGGTTACAACTAGTTTGAAAACTAATGGTCTTCGGCGTTATGCTCGTTGTGTGTGCAATAAAGTCAAAGAAAAAGGAATTACTTCTTACAGTGAAGTTGCTGATGAACTTGTTCATGAATATGCTGCAGAACATCCTATGATTCCATCTGAACAGGTAGATTTTCTAAATTGCCACATGATCAATTCATTTTTTTGTCTTAAAATTATCTTCAGTAGAAGTTAATTTTTATTTTATTTTGTCCTATAGCTTCATTATATTCAGAAAAATATCCGTCGACGTGTTTATGACGCACTGAATGTTCTTATGGCGTTGAATGTATTGCAAAAAGAAAAAAAAGAAATACGTTGGGTAGGATTACCTGTGAATATGGTAGAAGAATGTCGGCGTTTGGAGGAAGAGCGTGAAAAGCGACAGGTTTCTTTGCGAAACAAGGTATGCTCAAAGCATTATAAATCATCTGGTGATTATGTTTTACAAATCACATTTATTACCAAATATTTCCTAATAATAATAATATACTTTATTCCAAAAACAGTACTTGTGATGCGGAATGGAATTTTCAGCATTAACCACAGTATTGCGTCTAATTTCCTCAAATTATAACTAAAATTAATCACACAGAAAATCTTCCACATTTACAATAGGGGTAATGTCAGAAACATGCAGCATATAAAATGGAAATAATAATAATAATGATAACAGCTAAGGTAATAATAATAATACAAGTGAAAAATTCCGTGGGCTTGTTTTACACAGTATTGTCGTTATATGCGGCATAGAAATCCTAGAATGTTTAAAAATATTGAATATAATCTTCTCTTTACATAATATGATGAGGGGAAAACAAAGATTACAGCAGTCATAGGGATAAGTTGGTGCTTGCATTTATGAGAGTAAAACAAAGAAGCAACAGGACCATAAATATGATAGAAATAATAAAAGTAAAACTTCAAGGTATATAAGGATGGATGGAGGAAATTGTTTATTTACTAGATGAAAAAAGGTTAGTTGATTCTTGCCTGACATTATTTTCATCACATAAAATACGTACCAAGTATGGTATCATAGAATTTCTATACTTAGACGTGCGAGCATCCAGTTTTCTGAAGTTACTTCTTGTTCTACCTGAGGAGATGCAAGGTGAAAGCTGAGGGTAAAGTGGATGCTCCAAGTCAGACAAAATCCCTTTAAAATAAGAACAAATTAGTTCAGCGAAGAGTCTCTTTTCGGCGAATTCATTCTCTTAGCTGTACAGTCGCAAATATATACAATTAATTTTATGTGTGTGTGTGTACATAAGGTTTGTCAAAATCAAAATCAAAATAACAGTTAGTGTGGGTTGTTGATTACATCATCAAAATAATAAAGAAATTAAATTGTGTGAATAGTAATCAAAGTTGTAACTAAGTAGGGTGGGGATTGGTAAGATGTGAGTAGGGTTACGTCATCAAAATAATATAGAAATTAAAATGTGTGATTAATAATCAAAGTTGTAACTAAGTGGGGTGAAAATTGGTAAGATGTGAGTAGGGTTACGTAATATAGACATGTTTAGAAAGATTAGATGTTCGTGAAGGAGTATGGAGACAATTATGAAAATAAACTAGATAATAGGTGAAAAGATTGAATGGGTTAGTTACTAAAAATTATTATACGAATATTGCAAAAAAAATTTGATAACAAAATGTTGATGACAGATGAACTTGAAATTAAACCCACGGTAGTAGGAGGGGGTGGAGAAGTTTCTTCTGTGTGCATAATTCAGGCTTTTCTATCCAAATCGCTAAGGCTTCGGCAATACAAAGTATACGGAAGCTTGTCGATTTTGGAAGGCTTCTTTTGACTTTATAGATGACTTTGAATGACTTCTCCTTGCAAATCGAATGACCAGTGTTGAGTATATGCTCAATAATGGCGCTCCTTATTGCTCCATTGTTACCTTTCCGTAGCCAGGCGGGATAGTGTTCTTGAACTCTTTTAGATAAAACTCGCATCGAACGACCTATATACCTCGCTCCGCAAGAGCAGGTGAATCGGTAGATACACATGGAAGTGGTCAAATGCGATAGTTTATCTTTAGAGTAGTTGAAGAACAATGGCCGGGAGGAAAATGTCAGTCGTAGTGTGGCAGCGAAGAATGTCCTTCTTAGAGCAGTAGATATCCTCTTCTTCAAGGTGTCAGCCAGAAGGTCACCTTTGAAGGGTACATTCATGTAGACCATCTTCTTCTGCACTGTAGTGGGTTGTTCTTTGTAAGTCTTAGGCTTAATATGCTTGTCTATAAAACGGGGTGGGTAGCCATTCTCGAGCAGTGTCTTCCTTAAGAGGGCGATCTCTTCCTCTATTGATTCAGGACTGCAGATTTTTCGGATTCTAGTCGCCAGAGATATTATCAAGTTTCGCTTGCGACTAATTGGTACCCAACTGTAGAAGTTTGTCAACTGACCGTTCCATGTAGGTTTTCTGTGTACTGATCTGTTCAAGGTACCATCGGTCTTCTTACTTAAACGAACGTCCAGAAAGGAGATTGTCTCTTTGTTCTTATTTCAATGTCTTAATGGGTATTTTTCGCGAATTAAAAATCCCTTTAGCAAATTTATTGCATGAAGTCAAGTGTCTATCGATAACAACATTAACTATGTGGTCTACTGGGACACCACTCACCCTACTGACAGTCTTCAGCATTCTACGAATTGTGACTAGGAAAGAATAAGGTCGAACAATAAAGAAGAATAGGTAGGATGCAAGAGTTTATGAACTGTAAGAGGAGGCGTTGACTTATACCCGAGTGCCTTAACTCCTTAAGGTAAGATGTCAGGCGGAATATTTTACTGGAGATCGCTAAGACATGGGAAGACCGGGAGAGATCAGAAGAGAGAATAGGTCCAAGATACTTAATTTCTGATTTAATTCCTTTATCATCGTCGTCAATCTTAAAACTGTCATGAGAATCGACGACTTTTAACTGTCTTTTACATCTTAAGCTGAAATTAACAGTTTGACATTTAGAAGGATTCAGTTTAAGACCGTTGGACTCAGACCATTCACTGACTCACGACAGAAAGCTATTTATTTTGGTACAATCTAGCTTGGAGTTAGCAGCCATTGAAACTATTAAATCATCAGCTTATTTCACAAAGTTTATTTCATCAGAGTGAGGTAAGTCATGTAAGAAGTTAGAAAAAAGAAAAGGGGGAAGGACAGCGCCAGCTTCGGTAGGCAATGAAGTGGAAGACTTCCCTTTATACACGGTGTACTGCTGTCTTTCTGAGAAATAGGAATGTAACCAATTAACAGCCCAACATTTTGTTTGACTTGCAGCAAGTTTATTTAATAAGATATACCTAGGGACCGAGTCAAAAGCAGATGTATAGTCTAGTAAAGCAAAAAGAACACATTTAGCCCCTTTGTCTACACTGGAAGCAATGTTATGATATAAGACGGCAGCTGCATCTGAAGTGCTTCTACTGTGCTTCTAGGCAAATTGTTTAGGGTCACTAAAGGATTTAAGCGAAGGTACAAGACTAAGTAAAAGTAATTTCTCCATAGTTTTCAAAAAAGGAGACGTAATAGCAATGGGTCTAAATTTGACAAATGCTCCAGTAGATGATTTAGGTATAGGTACAACTTTAATGTCATTCCAAACGGCAGGCACATTATTACTGGAAAAAGATTTGTTAAATATATCAGTGAGAGGGTGACACAATATGAGAACATTTAAAAAAATAATACTAGGTACATAATCTGGACCTAAGCGCTGGGAAGGGTTTAGAGACTTGAGGCACTTTTGAACATCATTTGTGTTAAAACCTGGAAAAAGACTATTATCAACACTAGTGATGTTGGGAAGCATGGTTCTGAGGGACTGCAACAAGGTGTGACATAGACATTTGTAACGAAAATGAAGCTATACTTAGATAAGTGTTTAGGTCGACATTTAACAGTAATACAATCAATATTGCCATTTGAGAATTTGAAGCAGATGTTGGCAGTAGACCACTCAGAATTAATAAAAGGGGTAACACCATCACCTCTCTTCTTCTTTGAGCTGCATCAGTCTTGTCTGTACGTTGTAAAACCACTTAAGGAGATCATCGTTATATGAATCGTGGAGCCAAGTTCCTTGAAGAGCAATTACACCAGTATTACAATATATATTTGAGTATAATAGAGATTGAAACTAATGAATCTTGTTAGGTAAAGATCCGCAGTTTGTGCTCATAATCACAGTAAAAGTCATTGAATACATAGGAGTACGCTTTGAATCTCGTCGTAATCCACCACGAAGTTTTTATAAGTATATTAGAAAATAGTAAACCAGCCGATTATAAACATGGTAAATAAACGCAGAAACTTGTGACTAAATTGGGCAGAAATCTTAGCATGTCTGGAATGCTATTCTCCAGTATCGAAACTGCACACGACTCATCACTTAGTTGCCTTTATGTTAGAGAATGTTCACAAGGCGATGCAATCGATATATGTGGGACAGACCTCTGTTGAAATGAAGCTTAGGATCAGTGAATACCTCACGGGCAGCCAACCGACTTACAAGGAGACTCGTAGATCGAAATACAGCGATGATGCCCGCCTTAGGCTCTACATGCTATATCATCAGATCACAAGATGAAGTTTGATAGTATTCAAATTATTCTAAGGTTACATGAGACGTATAATGGTCGATCTCTCCACAAGTTCTTACAAGTTTGGATCGAAATTACCCAAATAGGAATGAGAGAACAAGACACCTTGACTCGCTTCCAATTCACAACGAAAAGCCGATACTATCAACACACACTAATCAACACTCACATGCATCTGTTATTTATTTATTTATTCAGCTATTTGATAATGCGAAAGTATCTCGGTCAAGTGAATGTGCGTAAACTTCGGTGCCATGTTTTCATCTGGTCTCACATACACTACCCAAATCTAATCTCACTTATGTCAACATTCCTCTTCGAGGAGAGTGATTCTTCAACATGTGCAACAATGTTTCGATAGATGGGACTTCGCAACTTCCTCGATTCAGTCACATTTGAATGATTAAAATAAAATAAATCCGAGGAAATAGATGCAATATATAGGATGGAAATTTTGGTAGCCGAAGATTTAAGCAGGCCGCCATCTGCAGGGGTTTGTGCATTTGAAAATAAAGCTAGGTCTCGTGTCTTATTCCTGATATACTGTAAATAGTGGAAATATCGCTAAGCAATCAAAAATTTTCATAGCTTTTCACTGCAAGATGTTAAGGCGTATGATGATTCTGGGAACAAAATTGAAGGTACCCAGATATATTGAACTTATAAGTTTCTATGGCAAGTTTCATGCTGTCAACCTTATATTGATCTGTGTGTTAGAAAAAAAACTAAGGAACTGAACGAGATACGGCAACATTGCAAAATATGACCGGATGGTTTGTGAGAAGGGGATTGGTGGGGGAAATCAGGGTGAGAAATTGTTTACGGTGGAACACAAGCACCTGTTGTTTTTGTCTGTTAACGACTGAAGTGGCTACGGTGAGTTTAAGTATGTGTCTCGATGAGCATTGTGATAACAGTATGAAGTCAGAACGTAGTTAAGTCCATGTGTGAGTTGTGTTGAAAAATGTAGACTGTGTTGGTGAGTTCACCGGAATTTCGGAAATGTCTTTTGGGTCTTTCAGTGTCCTTTGAAATGAAGAAATACAAATATTATCCTACCTATTTTTTGCCATATTCTTCATTATCGTTATGACCTTTTCTCCTTTTGCTTTCTCAACTTTGTAAATGTTGTCTGATTTAATCCCTCCATACATTAACAAGACAAACATAATTCACACTAATAAGGTGAGAGTTTTAAAAACCTATGTGAGGTATACAAATAGAATATGTCAGTTGGACGAACCTGGCAACTTTATCAAACAAAACATGTACGTTCCTGTAGGTTTTGTTTTGATATTCTACGACTTATTTTCTGAATATTACCACCGCAGATATGCCGTTTTTTGTTTTCTTCATGGGCTCGCTTTAATGTAGAGGCTAATTTCTCTGGATTATAGTCTTGGAAGAAATTTTAGAAGTAAGAGATATGAGATTTATAATAGTATAAGCTGTGTCCTTAACCTCGACTGTTTTCATTCCTCTTGTCCCGAATAGTGTCCTTTATTCACAAATTTCCATTTTCTTAACTGTCATTTTAGACTCTGGAAATTCAAGAACTTATTATGCAGCTGATTGCATTCAAAAACCTTGTAATGCGCAATAAAATCAATGAACGCTGCAGAAACCGCATTGTAACAGAGTCTGGGGATTCGTGCATTACTATTAATCTAGATAATGGGGCTCCTACAGTTCGAAATGAAAAAATACCATTACCGTTTCTGGTGATATCTACACATAAGAAAACTGTCATTGATTGCAACATATCCAATGACAAGTGAGCTGGATTGTCATACGTTCTACTTAAATGCTTTAAATATTTGTTTAATTGTGTCGTTAAATTAGGTAGACCATTTTGTTAAATTTTAATACATCATCGTGGATATCCAAATTTGAGAGTATATTTGAGAATATGTATATTATTATTTTTATTTATTTCCTTCGCGCTCCCAGTGGAACTTAGGGTTTCAAGCTAGAGGCTTGAAGTTCCTGTAGCAGTGTTTATTTTTACAGGATGGGGTTGCTAGCCTCATACCCAACCTTCCATCTTTACCAGCATTGTTCCTGGCTTAGCAAGGTAAAGGAGTGCGTTGGTGGGCGGGGATAGAGCCCCAGACCATGTGCATGGTCGGCGAGCATGCTAACCGCTGTGCCACCGACGCACGAGAATATGTGTAAGTGAATTCTATTTAGCTACCGTACTCGTTCATGTTTGCAACATGGTTTTTACTAACCCTTACATGTTATTAGACTTAGGTCTTCGTGTAGTCTTACTAATTGATTGAGTTTCAACATGGAAATTTATCCACAAGGGTTAAAGGTTCTAGGAGATTGAAAAGAGTGAATGCATCTGCACCATTGAGATCGGTTTCAAGCCATATCACCAACAGTTCCTGACCATTGGTTCTTACCATCTTGAGGACTCGAACCAGTCAGCGTACACCTCTATGTGTGTGACTGACTCAGACCAACTTTTAAAAACTTCTTGAACTGATTACAAGTGTTTAGTTTGATTCTTTTCCAGCCCAATCCGATATCAGCTACCATTGCCCGTCGAGGAGGGTAGTGGCTCAGCACGCACAACACATGCTATCTTAGTCGATGCAGCTTCACAATCTTATCGATTGACTTGCTCTACTTACCTAACACCACGCCTAACCCTGACATATTACTCAAATTTTGGGTGTGTAATCATTTTTGACATGTTACAGTACCAGCTACATTAATATAGTTCCATTTCGTTTCAGAAATTAAAATATTAGAATTGAACTGGAATTTATGCGATTATTATACCTAGTGTAAATCTCCTCATCTTATGACTGGTAGTTAATCATCAGTTGACATCCAAAAGAATTGAAGATGAAGTAAACAAACAAATAAGGATGTAAAATCTTGAGTTAGTTATGCTTAATGTTTTTACTCGTATTGTTATGCTGCATGCATATCGGTTTACTTGACGCCTCGAAAAAGACTTCAGTAGCCTAATTTTAAGTATGTTACATCAATGCAACCTAGTTTTTATCGTAATTATCTAGCATGTGAGTCTTCAATGAGCGGGGATTTTTGTAGACTTTTAGAATACACTTATTCTGTATTTTGTCACAGGTAAAAGTTTGGTAACGAAATCACTACTTTTAAAGTAGTGTTGATTTTCATCATATGAAAAGAAGATAAATTCTTAATTTTTCAGATTGGAATACTTATTCAATTTCGATCAAGCCTATGAGATCCGTAATGAAGTTGATACATTAAAACGGATGGGTTTAATGCTGCGTCTGGGTACTGTTCATTGTACCCAGGAAGAATATAACCAGTGCTTAGAGCTAGTACCACCATCTCTCCGGTTTTATGTGGAGGGTAAGTGATGATTGTAGTTGTTTCTCAGTTTTGTTTCTTTTTTGTCTGGTTGATAACTGACGTTTCGCAAATTTGCGGTGATTTCAATTACCGAATTATATGCCACATCTTGCTTTTGCGTGGTAATGAAAGGCGATAAATAAATTTTACAGGAAACCAAGCGTGCAAACCGATATGTCTCATGAAACGTTACTATGCAAGTTGGAGAGCTTGTACTGTAATTTAGCTATCCAGCAGGTATTTGTCGACGTATTTATTTATTTATCGAGCCATATTATAGTAACAAAACTCAAAATAACTATTACTCTTATGATAAATGTTATGTTGGAGATTTCAGTTTACAGACATAGAAACACTCAAAGTTTAAGATATGGATTAGTTAATTGTCCCCAGATAACTGGCATTAGTTAGCATTTATTGAGTCGTTATATGGCCAACCATACTGCGTCAGCGGTAGTTGTATCACTACTATATCTCCTAAATAGGTACGCATTGCACAATGGAAATATTCCAACTTTTTTTGAAATCTGCTAGTCTGTACTATGTGTTCACATATTGTCTGAAATAAAGCTTTATTATTATATTATTACTTACAGTCTCTAGGATCTGTAATAGGCGAAACTATTATACAGTATGTATGAAGTGAAGTAAAGGATGTTTTCTAGCACTTAATTAGAATTTTACAATGATTCTAAATAAAATGATTTAAATACTGATCATTTTTTCTTTTAGCGATCTATGAGAGACGCCAGGCAATTGTTCCAGATTTTGAGGCTCTCCATCAACAGAGGAGATTGTTTGTGGAAGCCAGATTAGCTGCAGCATCTGCAGTGGGGCAAACAGAAGATAGTGATCCAATGGGATCAGGTGGTCATGGGGGGTCAGTTAATATGCATCAGCAACTCGATCATTCAGGCATGGGTCATTCAATGCGAAATAGTGAGCGATCGCCGTTGGATACAAGTACGCATTATGCTGGCCTGTTTGATACAGGTAATGCAGGCGAAGGAGATATGAGACAAATATACTTGAACAGAAGTCCAGATGAAGAAGATGGTCATCTTACGGGGTCTGTTTCCAATAGTGGATTTGTTCCAGGTGATACTCAGCATTATGCTCGTGCTGCAGCTTCTCGTGGTTATGTTGTTCCTGGAGGTCCTGGTGGCCTTCTACGACATCGACAGCATACTCCGTCTTCAGGGGTCCCTAACATTCTAAGTCGACAGTTTGGCAATGATGGCTCTTCTCGCCTAGGCTCATCCACCCTGGTACGAACCTTAATCAGCGATACGCGTGAACTATCTGCTTCTGTGATGGATGTTAGCAACGACCATCCAATGGCTCGTAGCGATGATGCAAATGATGATCTGGTAGATCCAGATGAAATGATTGAAGATCATGATGATGAAGATGAGGATGATGACGATATGGAAGATGTGTGAATCTGAGTTACGAGGTTGTCATGTCTTCGTCCTTGCAATACTACCTTATTTTATCATAAATTTACGTCTATCACATGATTTTGTACATCAGATTTTCATCATTTACAATTAAGTCATAGTATCAAAATTTTCTTCTGAACTATTTGCGTGACAACTTTGATTTTTATGAACTCAAATATATTTATGACTGAGGCTGTTTGTATTTTTATTATTCTCCTTTTATTATTCTTCTCTCTTGCATTTGACAGTCTACTCCTATATAATATTCATGGTCACCTTTTTCCTCGTCTGCTTATTGCTGTTCCCTTGATAACAATGTTCGCGTTAGCAAGAATAAACATTTTGTATAGTACACTGCTTTCTGTGCGTAATCACAAATTTTTTACTTGTAAAATGTATCGTGGTTATGGAACTTTATTTTTTTTTCTTGGAATGTTGCCGTGTAATTTGTAGACGCTGTGGTGTGTGGATTGTCAATCCCATTAACAAGATTAGGAGAGAAGTACATGTTCTCATGGTACTATGTTGATTTATATTGTTGTTGAAGCGTTCATACGCTTCAGCATACTTACGATAACCTCTGTTTAATAACCAGCATGTTGCTTACATCCCACTGCTAACACTGTTCCTTAAGCAGTTTCATCGTCTTTTAAATTAGTGATTATTACTAGTCTTGTAAAATCACACTTTCAGGATGGATGACTGGATATTCGGTCAGAACCTTTTTTTGAGTAATCCATCTGGCCTAATTTTCTGTTCATCGAACTCCTAATTGAATGGTATCGAAACGTTGGTTCTCTAACCGTAGCTACCTCTAATCTACAAGTAAGCAAAGGAGCAGTACTTGTTGGTATGACTCCAGATGTGTTAAAGGATGGTGATGATGAATTATTGACTGGGTTAACTAATTATATGGGACTCCTAGATAGTTCCGTCGATTTGGTATAGATCATTGAACATCCCAGTTTACAAAAGAGGAAAAAAATCTTGTGAAATTCTCCGGGAGATCATCTCTACTGACATTTTTTTTAACCTTAGGTCAGCATTTGACTCCGTTGGTCGATATTTGATTTGGCGGTTTGTGATTGGGAGGAATACTGAGAAAGTATATTGAATTAAACAATACATTCTGCTCGAATTCACTAAGCTATTTAAGAACCTGTGGAGAGTTGTGCTAGTGACAACTAATAGCGTTTTTGGGGATACTCTATTTGTCTAAATTTATTTGGTTTCGTTGTAGATGTACTAATAATTATGACCCAGGTCAACTTAGAAGTCTCAAGGACTGACTTGCTGTCAGGGAAGTCCAGTTAACCTGGTGGTCAGATGACAAGTTTATTTTTCATGTGCTTTGGGGTTTTAGTTATTATGGGACAAAGTGCAGTGTTGTAAACGGCTATGCTCGTTGTACAAACCACAACTCATGTGTAAGTTGATACCACAGGAGTGGTCTTCATTGATTCCTACAGACGTACACAGCAAAATGCTTGAATATGTTAACCACTGTACTTATTTGGGAAATGGTATCAGCGTTAATTAATTGATAGCTGATAAGATCTTAGAGTGGATACAAAATGCTTTTTCCAACTTCCATCCTCTTTCACGCAGGCGTGGTATCTGACTGTTCATCAAAGGATGTGTATATTATGCGGCAGTTCGTTCCATCCATCTTTGTGGTTGTGTAAAACGGCCACTGAAAGTAGATGTGGAAGGAGAGGTTATTCGTTACTGAGTGTTAGTTTCTGTGTTAAATCGCTTTTGTTAGGTGGTGCAATATTGTCGGTAATAATTAGGTTAGGGGTAGTATTAGGTAACTTAGAAATGTTAAGTTAAGTCAGCAAATTTGATAAACTCTTGATTGAGTTGGCCAGAACATATAGATCATTTAGGGTCAGCGACTTCAATGGGCGATATTACTGAAATAGGATTATCAGGTATTGGTTTGTAAGGATTTTGTTTGATTGGTTGGAGGGTTTCATCATGAAGTGACATCAGTTAGAGAACCATTGGAAAACCTGGGAGTACTGGACAGCTGTCTCGTCCCAGTCTGGGACTCCTCATCAGTACGCATCCACCGGGATTCGAACCAAATACCTTCTGGTTACAAGGCCAGCGAGCTTGTAGACCGGTAAGCAGCCACTGGTACCCGACCAAATGGCCCGTGAATTCTAACTTCTGCAAATTTACGATATAGTGCGACCATTTTGCAATGTCTTCGATAAGAAACTGTCTGCATCTTCGACGTGAAATAGGATTAGTCGGGAAGAGTCAGGTAGATATGGCACCTTTCATTCATTTTCTCATGACCCTACTACTAGAATAAGTGGCGGAATAAATGTGATCAAAGGAAAGCAAGAATGAAGTAGTTTTGACCCTTGCATTTAGAGCAACTGAACAGTATTATCATTAGTAGTAGCTTGTTTTTTAATCCTCTTCATTCCGGACACTATTTCAACTTTGATTTTTCACCTCATTATTTAGTTACGTTTATGTACCAGTCTTTGATATCTTGGGTTTTATTGAAAAACAGTCTCACCCTGTATCACTTTATCTTTAACTCCTTTCCACTTTTGCCTGTTTACAACTTGGCTGTGAGGCCTAGTGTAGTCTTGCTGGAGAAAAAACGAGGGATCTACCGCACAAATTTTCGTATTCTAGTTAAGCAAGTACGTTAGAGTCCAAGTAATATGATAGCATGGTTTTTTTAGTATAGCTTTTAAGAACCTTCACCTACATAACCATTCAGTGATTAGTGATGCTTATTCTACCGCGAACTGATGTAAACCAATCAGTGCTTCCTGACAAACCTTTATGGTATCATGCAAAATGAAGCTTGAAATTTTCTAGTTAGGTTTGAGTTCGATATGACTATCTATGAAATATGTTACCACTGATGTTGCGTTGTCAGATTATATTACCTTTTTTGTTACAGAGCTTAGCTTTTATGCTTGAGGGAGTTGGTTGGGAGTGGTACATATAGGTGGTTCTGAACACAAAAGTTAAAAATGAGGTCTTTTCGTAATTCCCAACTACAGTTGTGTGGTTATTTGGTGCAATTGTCAACAAGATTTGGAATTGACGTGTGTAATTGACTTTTACGTTCGGCGAAGCCCGCGGGAGTTCCTGCCAAATTCCCGCTAGAAGCAGAAGAATTTATTTTCAACATGTTGATTGTAACCTTCATCAAACCAACTTCAGACGCTATCACCGGGTACGAGTTTCTATCATCAAGCTTCTAAGAACTCATAGCTGCATAATGACCTGGACTTTTGGAGTCCGCTTAGTCAACAAGAGACTTGGTTCCAGTTTCTACTGTAGAACTTGACTGCTGTCTGAATTCCAAAAGGTCAAAAGCGAGACTTCATGAATTCTACTCAAACAACTTGGCATGGAATTGAAATGAAGTTGTCCAATAATAAAGACTCAGTCTTTACCAGTCCAGATTAAAGTTTTAGCAACTGTTTTTTAAAAATATGAGATGACATTCGAAAAATTTGGTAATTTCTCAACGATGACGGTAAATTATCAGATGACTTTTTAAAATGAAGCAGGACTTAGTATTCATCGCACAGACCTATGAATGCAGTGAATACCTTGTCTGAATGATATCATATCTGCGCGGTTATCAATGAAAATGTTGAACTAATTTAAATCCTGGAAACTTTTAACAATGCTCATTGCTCAATCGACTTTCAGATTGAAGTTAGGTCAGAAGCAAATTTTTTGTTTCTTGGTGTCCAGCCGTTAAGGAGGATGAGTCTGTGCAGAGATCCATTTGATGCAAGCTAGAATGAATTGGGCAGCTGGCATACTTCCACAAATGGGATCTTATCGCTTTGCTTGTGACGAGTATATATCGCATTTGAACCGAAAATACATTAAATAAGGAACAAGAATTCTTCAGAAACACTGATCAGAGATGGATATCCAACCAGCTCCACTGGTAAACATTTAAAGTAAAAGACTGAAGCCAACTGTTATCTCCCGTCCACACATGGTCTTTTCCATCAAGATGTTAAGGAGACCTCCGTGTTGGCATCTTGAATGTGTATTTGCTGGTCTATTTACTCATGTGGAGTTCAAGTACCTCTGTTGTACCACTGTGGAATTGTCTAAATATGCGTTTATGCGTACTTACAGCATTTCTGTCGACAAAACAACTTAGAAAAGTTAACAGATCGATTCTTGAGCTCATTATTCTGGTAATGTAGCATCGGTAGTGACTTTATTCAGCGTCATACATAGGTTAACACTGAGCTGGACAAAAAGATTTATCTTCTTCATGCAGACTTAACACTTTCTTCCATAGGGTAAAACCTGGACTTCAAGTTTAGAGACGTTTTATTCATCCTCTTTTATTACTACAACTCTAGTTTCAATTTTCTTTTCTTAATTTGATGCGTAATAAATCCCATGTGATTTTTTCTCGTGACGCATTTTCAATTCTGATGTTACTGATTATCATTTATGTCCAACCAACTATTCCTCAGTTCATTAATTGGTTCTACACTTTCTCGATTACTTAAGATGATTTATTATTTCACACAACTTTTAATTTATCTTTGTTGCCAACTGACATTAACCCCTAACCCCTGTTGACACTTGAGACTATACTTCTAAACCCTTAAGTCGACTGTACAACGTTGATAAGACGTCACGAAAAGGCCTCATTGCTAACCTATGTATTCTTAACTTACATTACATGAGTGGTTATTTTTTTTTAAGTGATATAGTTCCCCTTGACTTTAATAAGTTCCATCATCGGCATTAGTTAGCACGGTGAAAAATTTACAATTAAAAAGTCAAAAGATTTTGGCATAGCACTATGTTATTATGTCTCCGACAGAACCACATTACTGGTGCTCTAGATACAACATGAAAAGTAAGTGGAGGGTTTGGATGGGTGTAAACCTAATCATACTTATGTTTCCCCTGCATGGCAACGATGTGTTTACCTTTAAATTGGGGTGGATGAAATTATCACAGTTGTATTATATCTAATATCACACAAATGCGTTTTCTTTTAGACTCGTTGTGTAGGTCTCCTCTTTTCATTTAAGAAACTAACCCAGTACCAATAAAAGTGGATATCGAAAATTCAAATGTAGTAATATAAGGCCAATGGTTTCCAGGTAAACCTTGGGATGAATTTAGTTAAAGACATGCTATTGATGACTCCAACTATGTGTCATCTAAAATATAGACCGAGTACATGCTGAGTGTAAAGTGATACACCAAAAATAGTACTGGTGTTTGAATTAGTCTTCATTTTCGAAATTTCGTAGTTTAAATAGGCAATTGTGTGATAGTGCACACGAAGGCGTCATGGTCCTGCTGTGAATAACACCATTAACATGTACATAGATTCATCAAAAAATTATTATATAGGCAGGAATTGTTCTTGATATCTACTACTACCTATTGTGAATCTCTGTCCATGTGATATAAATCACAAAGACATAGAGCAGCAAAGAAGTTTTCCTTCGTAACTTCCCATCAAAGGTTTACAGTGAAATAGTATTCTTAAGGATAATACAAACGCTTAAAAAGCTCAATTATTAACATCAATTAGTAAAACAACAACATGAAATTAATCATCAGGGAGAGAAAACAATAGAAGAATTGAGAAATTCGCCAAAGTGCTCTGATGTCATCGAGAAACATTACATTAGTTGGTGATTAGTCTTCACATATGAGAATATCACTAAAACTACGAGTGTTTATCAACAAGAGTATCGATGATAAGCAGAAGACATTCAGAATACGTGAGAAGTATATTTGAAAGGTAGGAGTGTGACAACAGAGGAGGGGCATGGATAAGTGAGAAACGAATGAATGTGGATCAGAAAGCAAATCATCATTGTGTATGATAAAAAGAAAAGGTTTAAGGCAACAGGATATCAGATAAACGCCTTCTCAATACACACTTCGGAATTTTCATTGGGTACAACTACAGCTTCTTCTGTGAACAGAAGATCTAGTTGGAAGTTCTTCGAACGAACAACCTTTCCTTAAATATCACTGAAGGATTTATCTATGGTTATGCATGAATGATATGTACGAACAAGGTAGGTGTTCAAGAATTCAGCCAGTGGTTTGTCTTTTTTCTCCTGTCGACAACCAAGTGGGGATATGTTCACGTACACATGTAGTCTATGTAATACCGAGACTTTAAATCTTTCTTAACTTGTACAATCATTTGGTATCTGATCCACATTCATTCGTTTCTCACTTATCCATCCCCCTCCTCTGTTGTCACACTCCTACCTTTCAAATATACTCTTCACGTATTCTGAATGTCTTCTGCTTATCATCGATATTCTTGTTGACAAGCACTCATCGTTTTAGTGAGAATCATTTGTGAAGACTAATCACCAACTAGTGTAATGTTTCTCGATTACGTGAGACTACTTGACCAAATTTCACAATCCTTCTGTCTTTTTTCTTCCTGATGAATAATTTCATTTACATTTTGTCAACTGATATTATTAATTGACCTGTACAACTCTATGTAACTTTACAGTTACGGAGTGAGTTTATGAGGAGAATATTTTTTACTGGCCGGTACAAATTTAATTACTGTTCAGGTTGTTGTTTTTCGAAAAATTGGTTGTGTAAAATGTGTACTTTCGGTCCATAGGAACGCCTTTTGTAAATGTCGATTTTTTTACATCATTTTGTCATAGTGTCGTGTTTATTGTGGAAGTTGAGGGAATCGTGGAACAGATTAGTAGATAAAGTTTGTATGTAACGATTTATCATATGTTGACAGCCTGTGTTCATTATGTGAATAGTAGTGATGCATTATATCTGAGCAGGGATTTAGAGTTTCGAAATTTTTCAAAACGATTTTTTGATATAATGGAAAATAGGTACATGGATTTAATTTTCGATAATGTAAGTCGGCTAATTGCTCCAAAATAGAGTGAAATCCATTTTAGCTGATTACGAACCTTTTTATAATCATTCATTTATCTTATTCCGTGATTAATCCGAAAATTCACAAGTCCACCAGTTTTTCTTACAATATTTCAAAAGAGTCCACTCAAAGTGAACTGAAGCACTGTGATATTACAATCGGCAAACATGAATATAACTCAAGGGAGAAAGATTGATGTTTTTTGAATTTGGAAGGTCTTGAAAATGAAGTATATTTATTACCTTGTGAATAGTTTTGATGTAAGCCACCAAAAGTGTCTAATGCATTATTTCTAATCCTCCGAAGTAATAAATTAGGCAGCCTCGACCTTGGTGCATGGCTAACCCTGATAAAAACACCGTCAATTGGTGACATCTTCAGCCTAGCCAATCCCTAATTTTTCTCAACCTCATATAGTTAGTTTACGAGGATTTGATTGGTTCCAAATTACATTACGAACTGACATCAGTTAGCGAAACATTGTAAACCAGGGAGCACTGGCCTGCTGTTTCGTAATTTCATTGGGAATCGAACCCAAGACAATGTTTACCAAACTAGCCTGTCGATCATTCAGCCACTGAGACAGATGCAGTTCCTATGAGAAGGTGGTGTGTTAGGCACTTTCCTGGATGAAGGTTGAAAACCTCGCTTCCCTATTCATTTTTTTAATTCTACTCTAACTCTAGTCTCAACGTTACAATGGTATTCCTCTACACCTGAATAGCGACACAATGATACATGATTAGGAGGCCATAATCTTTTCTTCCAGTTTCTATTTTTAGCAGTAATATCCCAACTGTTATATAGGACATAACTAACTGCTACATAATCACACACCTTTTAAGAGCTGGGTTTATTCCTGGTTGCTTTGACAATTACTTGTATTGTTGTTGGTACGACTTTTTTAGTCACCAATAAAACCAGCTGAATGGTTTTTGGTAATATATTTCTGATTCTTTAACTTGTCCGTGAAATCCCTGAAATTCATTGAATTAAGTCGTTTTGTGATCCCGGTGAAGAATGCTGCTTCTTCGTTTGAACAGTTCTTCGCTTAGTGCAAGCTTTATAAGTTAGGGATATCAAGTAATCAAGTTGAGCGAGTATCTGTAATGAGCACTACTAGCTACTTGTTGGGATGTGTGATTTTGTTTGGAATAGAAATAGCATTTTAAAGGATACTACTGTATGTGGTAAAACCAAACTATAGGATTATTTTCTTTTTGGGTTTCAGTTAGTTGAATGCTTGGATGCTTCGAAAGTCAATCATAATTTTTCGTTCACTAAAAGTCCCAATATGCAGAATATATCCACGCTTCGTTTTAAAATGATATTTCAATCCTTTCATTATTGGCTTTTCATCTTTGAGTCTGAGCTTACCTTAGATTACTGTTCTGAACTGTGGCAGTCGCAAAGGGATTGACGTCTTCGACCTAATTTTACTTCTATTCGAAACAATCTTGCACCAAACATCTCATAATATTTTCCGAGAGGTTATTTTTAATTTTTTGCCATTTCTTTCCTTTATGTCCTGAGTTTAGCATGGGGCTTCTAGCTTTGATGTTCCAGTAGCAGTGATTTTATGTTTCCCAGCCTCAAATTCAGCCGTTTTCTCTTCTGTGGGTTGGCTACCAGCCAGGTGAAGTTCAGGAGTGCTTCGAGAGGGAATCAGACCTGGACCACTTCTGTGTCAGGCTAGCATTCCGCCACTTAACCACCGATGCATTGGACATATTCTGTACATCTGTCTTGACAATTAATCGTTGGCAATGGATATGGCTAATGGTGAATGAGACTAGTGACCTTAGTCTTATCTCTCTCTTATAACTAAATGGCAATCATCTTATATCTCCTTTTCAACTTCTAAATTCTTTCCATATCGTGAATTGGTGAATCATACTATTTAAGTTCAACTTACTATTGATGCTTCGATAGTTCGTAGTAATATTATAGTTAGATAAGGTATGAAGTTACATATGTATGCGCTACTAATGTACCCGATGTTCTGTATTCTTCGAAACGACGGGGGCTATTAAGTTAATTCGTGGTCCACCTTTTTTCTAAACTACATCAAAAATAATACAGTTTTCATCGTTCATTTGTTATGTTAGCTGCGTATTCGTTAATTTTCCTTATATCACAGTTACAGCAAACTAGGTTGGTTTTATGGTCTCTGGAAAACACTTAACATATATGATATGCTTTTCAAATTACGTTACATTCATTATTGTCGAGGAATTTATAACTTATTCATTAATGTTTTACATTTGCAGATGGCCAGTTCTGCGAGAAATTCGAAAAACGAGGAAATTCAGCAGACTCGACCACCGTGTAAATATAAAAGTAATTGCTATCGGAAAAATCCTCAACATTTTGAAGAATTCTCTCATCCAGGTTAACTGATTATTTTTGAATTTAATATTGATAATTGATATGTCATTTGCGATATTAGAAGCTTATATCCTCTAATGCGTAGATCTGGTTTCCCTTCAACTGAAACATGAAGGCAAATGCCTAAACGTGTCACTGTTTCCTTGCTCTGGTTAAATGCTGTAGTTCCTTGTCAAGTGTGTGAAAGAGTTGTGTGTATGTATATTCATGCTATTTTGGGCCAGCTATCTATTAATCAATCTGTTAAGGAATATTATCCAGGCTTATTTGCCAATTATTTATGGGATTAAACCATTCACCAATAGGTTTGAATGTATTTTGTATATTTCATACCGCATACAAGGTCTTCGTGTCAGTAAGCTTTTCATTATTGATATTTTTGTAGACCTAGCATATAGGCTCATAAAATTTTGCTGTGTTGAGTTTATTTTTTGTATACTGTTATCTGATTCGTCAAACGTCTTAATTGGTTTGGTAAGTGTTGCATTATATGTTGTTGCGTCGGTGGCACAGTGGTTAGGACTCTCGCCGACCATGCACATGATCCGGGGTTCGAGCCCACGCCGACGCACACCTGATATCTATGGTTGGCCTGCGAATTTTGGGCTACCGATATCCACGCTGAAAATTCCACACTTGTACTAAAAATACGGTGTGGAATCAAGCTGTAACCAAAAATAAAAAAAATAAATAAAAGGTGTTCGATTTGACTTCAATATCTTCTATGTAATTACCCCCCCCCCCCATTATCTTCACATAACATGGACTGGTCAACATGCCTACAATGCTATACTATTGGTTTTAAGAGTCTAGGTTGTCGAGATCACACACAATATCTTTATCAGAAGACGTATAGGCATTACGATTGACAGACACTTTACTTTTAAAATTTCAGTGAATATTATTTCTTAATTTCATTAGTGTACTTTTTATGCTTATGTCAGATAACAATTCATTATGTGGATCAAGTACATGCGGAGAAGTGAATTCAAACAACCCCAAGAATGTAGAATCAGTCGGTCAGAATTTGTACGGGATTTACCTTTTTCGTGTATCCGGTGTAAAATATGGAAGATTTCCTACCATGACTTTAAAGGGTAAGTTGTTTGTCATACCTCGTGTTCACACCTCTTATGTCCTTTGTCAAACTGTGTAACAATGATTAACTATGTAGATAACTGACCAAGACATCAATCTAAAATTTATTACTAACATTTTATCTTGTCATATCATATATATCCTGAAAAGTTGGAAGAAGAAGATTTGGTAAAGGTATAATAAATTTGGTATCTCTATGTAGGCAAAGTATGTATACCTTATCTTCAAGGCACCATTTGCAAAGATCTTCGTGTCGTGATATTTCTGGACTCCACATTGTGTTCCTGTGGGTTCCTTTCACGTCTCCTCCCATGTATCTCCACAACGCTGTATCATTCGCCTCCTCTGAAATCAAATGTATCTCTTTTCTATTTGATGCTTTTATGCCGATGAACGTCTCTTTATATAATACTGACAAATCTTATCCATAGCACAATCTGAGCACTTTCATACCAGTTCCTTACTCATTTTTATTTGACTCCATATACAGTAGCCTATTTTCAACTCAAGAATTAGGGGTTAATAAAGCAGACGATTACTCTAACGGATTTTTCTGTTTTGGGTGTCATTATGTTCCCTGAGTTGGGTGTTTTGATTGCCAGGCTCTCATTATCTTTCTACACAACAACCCACTGTAGAACTGGGAAGAGAAGAAACAAGGACAGAATTCATTATGAGTGGAGAAACGTTCGTTGAAATGAATCATAATGGAGAACTCTTTGATGGCTTCCATGCGTTTAATGATTTGGTGATCGGAGACAGTATATTCAAGCCGAAGGATATCCACAAGGAAACGTGGCTATCACGACTTGGGCCCACCAAAATCCAGGTAGACTTCATCTCATCTCCAAGGGAGTGAAGATGCAGATTACTGAAGACGACTGAGCTGAGTTATCATTTTAAATCCTAACAAAGAAGCACAGCACTTCAAATTGCCACACTTCATAAATTCATATCTCAAGGTAGAGGAAAGAAAATGCAATGAAACTGTGACAAACGAAGATGTATGTAAGAAGGGAATAATTACATGGGAAATAATGAGAACTCAATAGGTCTTGGAAGTCTAAAAAAGTGGGTCCATCTACGCCACGGAGATTGATTTCGAGCGGTCTTATCAAGTTTCTATCCACTGAATCTTTGCTGCCCAAGGACTCCAACTTCTGCCTATGTGACTGACTCCGACTAACTGTCAAAGACTGCATGGATTGATTCCTGGTTTTGTTTTGACTACCCATAACTCTTTTCCAACCTGATTCTATGTCAGGTAACATTACACGACGGGGAAAGTGATGACTTGGTATGCGTAACACATGTTCTAGTCACCTCAGTTGATGCAGGTTCACAGCCTTATCAACTGAGTTGTTCTCCTTACCAAACACTGTACGCTTGACCTCAATATTACTCGCCATATTATAACACTCAACACGAGAGACAGAAAATAAACACCTAATGTCGAACACAGCTGGCCTCTTCATATCTTTCACTTTCAACGGCCATTTCTCACAGATACAAAGAAGGACGCAGCGAGTGGCTGTGAAGTATTTAGGTCCTTTGATGGATACCCAGATATCATATTTATGCCAAACATGATGGAATTTGGTAAATGACAGGCGAGTCATTTATATCATAGGTGAGATTTTGTGTAACTTCCCAATTAGGTGGAATGGTCAATACGCTTAAACTCTTCGCTCCCTATCTTTAAACTAGTAGTCCATGCAGACCAATCACACAACATCTGAAATTTTACAGGGATGAATCGCATGTCAAACATATTAACACTTCTGCTCCGATGGTTCCGAAGACTCTCCATTGTGTTCCCGTGTCCACCTAGGAGGACTGTATGGTCTACTATTCAGTGATAACAGTCCAGTTCATTTATGGTGAAATTAAATAAAAATGGAGCATTTGGGTATCCCTGATTGACACCATTTGATATCATCACTTTAGATGAAAACTCACTATAAACTGAATTAGTTCTAGTAGACAGCAATGAATAGCGCGATATGCCAAACATTACCATAGCATATCACAATTGGCAGAGTTTAACGTTGCTTCTAGGTGAAGAAATATGACAAGTTTTGAAGGTCAGTAAGTTGATCTATGTTTCAGAATTTATCGAAGGTTGAAGATATAATCAATACCCTCTCTTCCGTGCCCAAAGACTACCAGAGTATCACTTTAAGCAGCGAACTGGAAAGCCTTAATAAAACTGATATTTTGCCTCTTCCGAATCGTGATTGGTTTGGGGGACGGTATCACGTCAACGTAACTGCTACTAGCCGGGTACTGGAGATAAGACTGAAAATAGAAGCTGAAACTTTCATAATCGAGCTGGAAGCCTTCAAATAAGTCACAGATAGATCACTACTCAAGTTTAACACTCCGTGCTACAAAAGACATTAGACAACATCACTGAAGAAACTTGCATGAAAAAACACTGGAACTCTTTGAAAGTGGTGTGGGAGGAGACCTGTAATAACATCATAGACCAGAAAAGGACTGGCTCACTAGAGACACCCGTAAGCTGATAAAAAAAGGAAGGATGGTGAAGCAGAAGAAGAATCAGTGTAGGGATGAACAACGAAAGAGTAGGTGAATGCAATCCACAATATACTGAAAAAAGTTATGAAGAGTGCTATAAAAGATAAAAGACAACCTGGCAGTGCTCTGGCAACTGAGGCAAAAATATTTTATGAAATAAGTAGATATCTATCCAGGAAGAGATCAGGACAGATTAATTCAATGAAAAATAAAGAAGGGAAGCCAATAAGCATAGAGGTGGATCAAAGGAACAGTTGGGCAGATGGCTTACTAGTTTACGTTCTATACAATGCATCTTCCAAATTCTTCACCTGGATGGTTATTAACACCTAAGTAGTATATCATTTGGTATGTATATTTCCTGAAATATTGTTGGTTGGTTTTGTCCTTTTAAAGTACACATCTTGTTTATATTTGATTTACCAGAAATACTTGATTCCGGTGATGGCGAACTTATATCTTCAATACAGGTAAGTTTATATTACTTGAGATATTACTAGCTTATTTTAAAGCCAGTTTCTAGTTAAGATTGATAATTTATGTTCCCTTCAAACATAGCTTATCATGACAGTCAAATTTTTGACGACAGGTATAAATGACTTGTTTACAGTTTAGCATCTGTTTTTCATAGTTAAAATGTCAGACCCTTATTCCAATTAAAATTGGATATTGTGCTGGATTTCCCGACAACTTTCTATTTCTAGTTAAAGCATATGAAATTACACTTTGTAGATAAGGAAACAAATGAAATTGTCAGGAAAGCTGAAATACCACAGTATTCACACTAGATTATTTGCTGTAAACATTGGAAACTGAAGCCATCATTGGGTTTTAAAATGCAGCTTGATACATTGGCATTGGTTTTTTCCTTGCAAGCCTTTATTGAATTACGGTTTGAAATTTATTGCTTCCCTTGGTCAAACATGTATGCCATTCTAGTGGTCTGAATGTACACATTCTACACAACCAATTTTTCGAAAAACAACAACCTGAACAGTAATTAAATTTGTACCGGCCAGTAAAAAATATTCTCCTCATAAACTCACTCCGTAACTGTAAAGTTACATAGAGTTGTACAGGTCAATTAATAATATCAGTTGACAAAATGTAAATGAAATTATTCATCAGGAAGAAAAAAGACAGAAGGATTGTGAAATTTGGTCAAGTAGTCTCACGTAATCGAGAAACATTACATTAGTTGGTGATTAGTCTTCACAAATGATTCTCACTAAAACGATGAGTGCTTGTCAACAAGAATATCGATGATAAGCAGAAGACATTCAGAATACGTGAAGAGTATATTTGAAAGGTAGGAGTGTGACAACAGAGGAGGGGGATGGATAAGTGAGAAATGAATGAATGTGGATCAGATACCAAATGATTGTACAAGTTAAGAAAGATTTAAAGTCTCGGTATTACATAGACTACATGTGTACGTGAACATATCCCCACTTGGTTGTCGACAGGAGAAAAAAGACAAACCACTGGCTGAATTCTTGAACACCTACCTTGTTCGTACATATCATTCATGCATAACCATAGATAAATCCTTCAGTGATATTTAAGGAAAGGTTGTTCGTTCGAAGAACTTCCAACTAGATCTTCTGTTCACAGAAGAAGCTGTAGTTGTACCCAATGAAAATTCCGAAGTGTGTATTGAGAAGGCGTTTATCTGATATCCTGTTGCCTTAAACCTTTTCTTTTTATCATACACAATGATGATTTGCTTTCTGATCCACATTCATTCGTTTCTCACTTATCCATGCCCCTCCTCTGTTGTCACACTCCTACCTTTCAAATATACTTCTCACGTATTCTGAATGTCTTCTGCTTATCATCGATACTCTTGTTGATAAACACTCGTAGTTTTAGTGATATTCTCATATGTGAAGACTAATCACCAACTAATGTAATGTTTCTCGATGACATCAGAGCACTTTGGCGAATTTCTCAATTCTTCTATTGTTTTCTCTCCCTGATGATTAATTTCATGTTGTTGTTTTACTAATTGATGTTAATAATTGAGCTTTTTAAGCGTTTGTATTATCCTTAAGAATACTATTTCACTGTAAACCTTTGATGGGAAGTTACAGAAACAATGTTCTCTGCTTAGCTATGTCATTCCAGTTGTTAGCATATGTCGTGTATTATAAAGTGCATTCACCTGCAGTAAATACAGTAAATAGGTTTACAACACACATTTATTTAAGCTTAAATCAATTAAACGTTTATATAGAATTTTCCATTTATTTCGCTTCGTTTCGATGGTTCGCTTATAATTAACCAGTGAGAATGCACTAACCTTTATAAGATAGGAATACACTCAAAATAATTTTATATGAAGAAAGCTGAATTCTACTTGAAAGCCTGTTCTCATATCAAGTCAACAGCGGTGTGCGTTATTCAATTTATTCAGTCACCTGGCCAGTAACGCTTTCAAAGGTTTCTCATAAACTGTCAACTTTTTTCACCTTCTGATTTAAACACCTGTAGCTAAAGTGTGTGAATGAATTTCAAAAGTTACTTAGTCTCTTTTATGAAAAGAATTCATAAAGCACTTAGAAGTGAATAATCAATGATGTAGTATCAGTGTATGGAGAAGTGAGTTTTGAGGCAAATATCAGATGAACTATAAGACTGTAAAATTTCACCTTTCCATGGATTTCTGTTCATCCAGTAACCTGTGTTAACAAACTTGAGGAATTTCGTTGCGCAAGTGAATTATCCTATTTTGATTGAAGGTTGACTGAAAGCTTTTCATCTAAGCTTAGATGCTTTTTGAAACTAATTACTAGTGTGAATGCAATCGCTGATTTTGTTTTGTTCATTAACAGAAATTTTATAATCGTATTGCTTTAAATGTTTACATTGTTAATTCCTTCCAAACTGTCATTGACTGTTATGATGTAATTTTGCGTATTGTAATTTCAAGTGTATTTTCCCCCCTCATATATTTAGTTCAACTACATGTTTGACATAAAATGGTTATTGGAACAGTATCCGAAATATTCAAGGTAAATTCTTGTGTATATTCATTGTTTTTTATTAAATTATATTGAAGTATGATAGTTGGCATTCTCGGAGTATGGTACATTTCGACTGATTAAGAATTGTAATAAAGGTTGGCATTTTTTTTTGTTTGCGTACTTTGCAAATTGACTCATTTTGGTCTTATAAGTCACTCTTTAACTTCATTTATCACTTTTAAGTATTTGTTTTACTAATTAAAATGTAGGTGTAAATTACACACGCTCATATTGTTACAGTCTTTTTATTTGTATTATTATTATTGTTTCCTTTAGCTCCTAGAGGAACACAGGGCTTCAGCCGAACGTCTCCATTGCATTCGGTTCTCTCCCAACGTTTTCACCTGTCCACATGCTTTCATCTCCTCTTCACGTAACCTCTTCCATGTCACCGTCGCACTGAAGACCAACTCGCCGCTTCTCATTCAGGTTCCACTTGAGCAATGACCTGGCGTGTGATATCGCTTGATGGTTTTCCCAGAGTACGGCCAATTCACCTCCATTTCTTCCTGCATATTTGTTGCACAGTCGGTTCCTACTAGGTTGGTTCGCTCCCAGAGATCCCTCACTATTGCTGATCTTTTCTGGCCGCCCATCTGATCTTGAGTATTGCGCGAAGACAGCTATTGGTGAATGTCTGTAGTTTGTTTGAGGTGCTCTTCGTGACGCGCCAAGTCTCTGATCCGTATAGTAGTACTGACTTCACATTAAAGTTGAAAATCCGGATCTTATTTTTGATGCTGAGTGCTGTCGACTTCCACACAGACTTGACAGTAATGAAAGCTTGTCTTGCTTTCCCAATCCTCGCTTCGATATCCTCGTTAGTTCCGTCCGCCTGTAGTTAAAACTATGCTCCCGATGTCGACAGGTAAAGGAGGTTGCTTCTTTCAAATTTCTTCCATTTATGCTGATTGTTGTCTGTTATTATTGCTGTTGCTGTTGGCCAGGAATCTTCATCATCACCTCTGTTTTCTCTATGTTCACCTGAAGTCCCATCTTTGATGCTTCTTCCGACAACTTCTTGCTTTTCACTTGCATATCTTCTAATTTATGGGAAGTCAGACACATATCATCGGCGAAGTCCAGATCCTCTAAGATTTTGCGCGGGTTCATTTTATGCCTGTTTCTTCGCTGTCTGTCGCATTTTCCAGTCTAATTCAATCAGGAAAGTCATTGGAGATATTTATTTGTATTAGTTTGCGTCAAAGCACAGGTGATCTTTATTTAGCTACGCATATTTTACATTTGATTAGGGCGTTACTGACTTAGGTAATTGACTTACAATTAGCCACTGTCGGGTTCTAATTCCATCTCGCGTACTTATGCTTCAGTTACACAAAAGTACTATAATTCGCACACATTTAGTTTGCTTCATAAAGTGGAACATTCACTTCTGTTGACCTACTGAGATACTTCACATGTCAAGTATTTATTCCTATTGTGGGCGAGATGCAAATTCTTAAACTCTTTACAATGCAGCAAGTAATATCGGTTTGTGAAATATCTACTGACTGACTACTTAATTTCAAGACATTCAGGGTATTCATTTTCAGTTAATTACCTATATGGTGTTTGTGAGTATTACACTATATCTACTGGTTGTTCTTAATTTGTATAGATTATTGCCACTGACTATTGTACATGGTTTTGAAGGGAGGATAAAGAAAAGCTTAAATGACACTGCTGCGTCTTATAGTAATATACAAGTTCATCAAGTATGTTATGTGTTTTCTTTTTATTGTACAGTACTGCACCTGTTGTTGACTGTTAATCTATATATACTCCATAATAAGTATTCACATTGACAGAAAACAATTGATATTTGGCGATTATTGCTATCGTTTCACTTTTTTCTTCAACGTTATATTAACGGTGTTTAATTTTGACGTTTAAGTTAGATTATTCAAATTTAAATATGCCTATATGAAATATTATTTGTTAGTCTTTTTGTCAAACTCATTTGATTCAACAAGATTTGTTGACATGATACTAGATGCTATTCGCTGAATCATCTACGCCATTGTCAGCTTTAATTCACTTTTGCATTGACACGTGCGCAAGTGTTGCGAAAAAATGTGATCTAGTGCAATCATCGGTGTAATTAGATCGTAAATGGTAAAACAGAAAAATTAATCTGCAACTGCACGAAAGAATTCACAAAGTTCCTAAAAAATTCCACCCAATAGTTTGCTAATTTGAAACTATCTCTGAAAGAGTACTACAAATGTTATGGATTGTCATCATCTTATTGCTGTGAATCTAACTAGTCCGTTCATGATCCAAGTTTTATATCTCTTGGTGATGGTACTTATTGTGTGGACAGACGAAGGTGGTCGAATCACGTTGGTTAAAAAAGTTTAAGCGCTTTTCTCAGTCACCTTGACATTATATCATTATTTGAACTCAATATTTGTCAAATTGAAACTTTATCAAAACAAAATTTACCCATAATGGAATTACACTCTACCACAGTGCACAAGTTTTATTCTTATATAAATTGAATCAGTGTTAGACTTTCAATCTACTAAAATGCAAACTATCTGTCATAATTTTTTGCCCAGCTGTTAAAAAGTTGTATATGTAGGACCTCCATAAATTAGAACTATTTCTTGAGGGTTTTGAGGGTATGTTTGTCTTGAACTAATGAGGCAGTCAGCTACCACTATCGATAGTTCTGTGAAGATCTAGCAGTAAATGTAAAGAATTTTGGTATCGGCTTTTCGTTTTGGGAATGTTAGACGGTATTTTAACGGCTAATTATCTGTAGAGGTGTAAAGTTATACATGAAAGATTGAAAACAATAACTTATTTATTTTCTTTTTGATGGGTAAAATTTATTTCGATAAAGTCTCACAGTGTTATACAGTAATATTTACTGATGACCACGTCTCGAGCACAATTTATTGCTCATGATCATATTAAGGTGATCAACTTATCGGTGCTAATCACTTTTATGAATCTTTTACTACCATTTTGATTTGAATGTTCACCTGAAAACCTTATGCCACCATCACTGAAACTCTGCTGAAAGAATATAGCGTGTACTGTTAATAGTTCAACCTTTTTAAAGAGAGAGAATATCTTGAAGACCTAAGGAATTTTTTTAATATCGTTATATTTCATCATGACAGTATTTTTTTTCACTCTCAACTTCAGTACTTTGTAGTTCATGGGATGTTAAGTAAAGAATTAGAATTGGCTGCTGTCGTTCTTATTATTCTTTTGTTATGGTCGCACCTGAGGTGATAAGCATTCCAGTTAACAAAGACCAAGGGGTACAATACAGTGAGCAAACCAGACTACCATTTCGTTACTGCAAATTTAGTGACATCACTGCAATTCACCTGTTAATCTATATATATATATATATATATGACTGATTAGTTTTTCTCTTTTCTTCGAAGGCCAACATTCGACTGCCATATGGGACACATCATACGTAAGCATCATAATTTGAGTAGAATTTCATCCTATGTTAAATTTTATTACGCTAAACATATACTACACTGTTATACGGCATTTAATCTGATAATTAATAATCAGTTGTTCATTGTTTTTCGATCATGTTAGCACAGTTTTATTTTCATTGGGCTATGAATATCCCTTGACTGACTGATGGAGGGTTTATTCATATAACTGCAACAGTCTGTTACTTCGGTAATATGCAGGTTAACTGAGTGTAGTAATCCGTCAGATTTCATCTAGTTTACTGCCATTTCAAGATCAAATCAGTAAATGGAAAGCTCTAAAAATAAATTATAAATAAATATTTGAATTCATTAGCTTCTAAAGTAATATGGAAATCTTTTGATGTTAGTTGTGAACATTTCATTACCAGGCTTGTTGATTATCTTCAGCACAAATTTCATGAAACACTTCCTATCAGCCATCCAAAAGATGTGAATTGTTAGTTGTTTGTTTTGTAGCTTTAGCTGTGCTGTACTCAGCCGTTTCAACTGTATTGCTCCGCTCAACTCACTTATCTTAGTTTCTAGTCTGTTAGTGTTCTCTATATTGCGCAATTGCTAGACATATATTGCCAGACTGCGTCGACAATTCTTTCCACAACCATTTTGGATACTGATGATTAGCGACACAATCCTCAAAAAGTCAACTTTCTCACTCCCAACAGCAAGCTTGACAGAAACTCATTGAGTTCCTTAACTGTCGAAAGGTCCTTGCTACGTTTTAATTCATGGATAATACCTATCCAGACGTTAATGAAAACAAAACATGTAGTTCAGCGAAAAGTCTCTTTTCGGCGAATTAATTTTCTTAGCTGTACAATAGCAAATGAATATGGGTTATTTTGTATGTATGAGTACATTAAGTTTGTCAAACAAAAATACAATTGATTGTGGTTATTTTGATCAAACAGGTGAAAATTATTAAGTTTCGGGTGGAGTTACGTAATACAAAAAGGGTCAAGAAATTTAGGTGTTAATGAGACTAGTGTATTAACAAAGGTGATAAGTCGTTACAAACAGTTGCTAAAAAGGAGTTACTTACTAATATGAGTAGTTTGATGATTGAGTTTTACTCAGGATGCATATAGGAACAAAGTAGATAATGCGAAATTACATAAGCGTTCTAAATGAATACAAGAATTATAATCAGTTAAAGAATTAGCCAAACAAACAAAATTAAGTCATCAAAAATCAACATAGTTGCTACCATGGCAGTAGAAGTGGTTGAGTAATTCCCTTTTGTATGCACAACTCTGGTTTTTCTATGTGAATAGCCAGAGCTTCAGTGATACAAAGAAGACGAAACTGTGTTGCCTTTGGAGGTTATTCTTCATTCTGTAGATTACTTTGAAGGAAGCGTTTGTTGAGATAGAACTGTCAGTGTTAACCAGGTGTTCAATTATTCCACTCCTTATAGCACCACTAATCCCTTTTCGTAATCATGCTGTATGGTGTTCTTGAATCCTCTTGGACAGGAAATGCGTCGAACGACCGATGTACCTGGCTCCACAGCAGCAGGTACACACAGAAGTGATCAGATGCGGGATATTGTTTTTAAGGCTTCTGTGGAAAGGAAGGGCGACTGGAGAACAGTATTCTTAGTGTTGCTACAAAGAATCTTTTTTCAGAGACGATGTGATCCTTCTCTTGGGATCATCGTTTGTTGAATCTCCCTTGAAATCCAAGTTCATGTAGAGTTTCTTTTTAGGCGCAATTAAAGTTTCGTTTCTCCGAATTATTGGTTTATATTTTTGTCAATGAATCTTATTGGGTATCCATTTTGGATGAAGATTTCTCTGAAAGATCTAATTCTGTTTCCAGAACGTCAGGACTACAGATGCGTCGGATGTGGGTGGCAAGTGATTTAATTGAATTCCGCTTTTGTTGAATGGGTACCCAGCTATAGAAGCTTGTTAGTTGACCATTCCACGTAGGTTTTCTATGGATCGATCTTCTTAGGCTCCCATCAGCTCTCCTTGTTAGTTCCACATCAAGAAACGGGATTTTTGACGCGTTCTCCATTTCAAGAGTGAATTTTATTGCTAGATGGCAACAGTTAAATGTCTGCAGCAGTAGATTGGGGCATTACTGTTATAACAAATAATGAATATATCATCTACGTATCTCTTATACAGTCGTAAATTGTCGATGCCTGGCTTCAGTGGATCTTTCTCAAAGCTTACCAGGAAACACTGCGATAGCAGTGGACCCAACGGAAATCCCATTACAGTACCATCTTTTTATCTGTAGATTGTGGCGTGAATTGTTCGTTCAGAGTTCATCTTAGTAGCAATTCCTTGAAATATGCTGTTGGTATTCCAATATCGAGATGGTTCTCATCTATATATTTATCTATAAAGCAGGCCATTTCCGCGAGTGGGGACATTGGTGAAAAGTGACTCAATGTCGAAGGACAGCATAAGTTTGTTAAACACAGATTTTTTGTTTGACAAACTTAATGTACTCATACATACAAAATAACCCATATTCATTTGCGATTGTACAGCTAAGAAAATTAATTCGCCGAAAAGAGACTCTTCGCTGAACTACATGTTTTGTTTTCATTAATGTCTGGATAGGTATTATCCATGAATTAAAACGTAGCAAGGACCTTTCGACAGTCGAGGAACTCAATGAGTTTCTGTCAAGCTTGCTGTTGGCAGTGAAAAAGTTGACTTTTTGAGGATTGTGTCGCTAATCATCAGTATCCAAAATGGTTGTGGAAAGAATTGCTACGCAATCATATATGCCCAAATACGAAGTCCCTTCGACGTCACACAGTAAATTTTGCGTAATTTTCATCAAAATCTCGGGATTTTAATGTTCCTGGTTTTCTTACTTCCTGGACAGAGCTATTAATCATATTCTGTCATTTTTAGTGTAGCTTCATGCAGAAGTGCATGCATTATATCATTAATGAATATCCGTGATGAATTTTTTTTCTTGTTGACGTTTCTATCACATTGACCTTTGACCTGCATTTTTTGCTGGGATATTTTTTTCTCGCTACTTCTTATATATTACCACCGAAATCATTTAGGAAGTATTCTAAATCAAAGAGTGTTGGACAGCTGTTTTGTCTTATTTTTCGGCAGTACGCACAAGAGGCCTCAACGGGGACCACACCTAGAATATTTCAGTCAAGCAGCAAGAACCTTGCCACTCAGACACTAGGACGGAATCATGTGACCCATGAATTCTGTCTTCTGTGTATTTGCAATATACAGCCCCAATACCAGTTAATATCATCTTCGATTATCTGTGTTTTTAACCCGACTTGATGAATACAACCGTTTACGCCTTCTCATTAGGACTTCTGAAAGGCTATCCCGTATGCAGTGATTTATAGGCAATGAACTGATTTTCAGGTGTTGCTTTGCACAGATATGATGGATTTTAAGCTAGCCTTCATCATGAACGAACATCATTTGGATTATGTCACATTAGTTGAATGGTAATGTTCTGGCCTGCTGATGACGAGAACCAGACAGGGGTGAAATAATTGTTTGGTAGACCGTAATTCTCAAAGATTCACTGACTGATGTCGAATATTAATTTCATTTTAAATGAAGTCAATCACATCCTTAGAAAATAACACCTGAAAGTATAAATTTCCTAGTTCAATAAATTATAACTTTAGGTAGTTATCAATTCAACTGAAATAATTTAGAGATTACTAGAGGTCTCGGAATATATGCTCACACTGTCATTGCAAAATGCCTGTAGGGAAGAAAGGTGTTTACCTCTTGGAAGAAGGACTATCTTTTTAGATTAGCGATGAAGAGTGACTTAACCCTTTTCCAGGATGGGTGTGGAATCATTCTCCTGTATACCTCAATCAAAATTTCAGTTGGCGTCATCCTCGAGAGACTGAAGGGTGCTCTGGATCCAAAACACCTTCCGAAACCAGTTGAATTGTGGAAAGGCGAATCATGTACGAATCAAATTGCAGAACTATGTATTATCATAGAATAGCGCATAGAATGGCAGTCAAACCTCTACCTCAACTTCGTTGACTCTGAAAAGCTTTCGGTAGCATTGACTGTGAAGTAATTTAAAAACCGCTTCGACACTACAGAATACCCAGATTTCTATCAATCTTATTCAGCAGCTATATGACAGTGCCGTATGTCAGGGGATTCACAACGGAAAACTTAACGAAGACTTTGTAGTGAAGACTGGAGTAAGGCACAGTTGCCTACTATTACCGTTGACATTTGTGATTGTGATGATGCAGGAGACGGTGCGGACCGAGAGGATGAGCATACTTTGAACGGAAAAGAAGACTTTAGAGAATCTGGAATTCGAAGACGATTTATGCCCACTGTTTCACAAGTTCGAAGATCTCCAGACGAGAACCAGCAAGCAAGAAAAAGCTGCACCAAAGACAGGAATTCAGGTGACTATAGAGAAGGCGGAGGTGATGAAGATACCCTACTGACAACAAGAATCACCAATAACCATCAGAAGGGTAGATTTGAAGGAGTTAACTTCTTTCATTTATTTGGGTAGCTTCCAACGTTTCAATTACAGGTGAGATAGATGAGGGTGTCAAAGACATACACAGAAAAGCATACCAGAACTTCACTAACCTGCTCTCAATATTATGTAAAAGATTCGGGCTTTCAACACTATTGTCAAGTCAGTGCGTCTATATGGTTCAAAAACTTAGCGTTCGCTCCAAGGAAAAGTATTTCTAAAGTGCTTCAGACTTACGTCTACATCTGTCTTCTCTCGACATTGAAGATCTTAACTCCATCAAAGAAGCAAGCAAGAACATATTTCCCAAAATCACAAGTCTGGATTCCAGTAATTTCCTAATTCCCATTTATGCCTTTAATAAAACAACACCCTAAGCGATGAAATACATTCCTTTCCAATTAGTTCCTCATCATCGACTTTACAATTATATATATTTCTTAACATCACAATTTTTTACCGATCTAGTGGTTATTTTAGTTAATACATAACTTAATACATATTATGTAGTTGACCGTGGCAAAGAAAGGGGCTGCACAAATATATTTTGAACACACAGATTTGGCTTGTTCAGGTGAATTCCGATTGCTTCTGCTGTATATAAAAGTCGTACTCGTAGGCTGCGCGAGAGGTTGGGTGATATACCGTAAATAACTTTAAAAGCTTTATTAGAGTCGATCTGATGTCCAGTATCGACGTGATTAGCTATTATTGAACCGCGTGCAACTTTATTCGGACCTTTGACAAACCAAGATGTGAGGTGTTCAGAAATTTGACGATGAACTTGCTTGATCATACGCTCTGTGTAACTAGCTCCTCACTGGCAATTAAACTGGTAAATACACATGGGAGAGGCGAAATAGGGCAGTTTGTCATTATTCCTTGAACTAAGTATTGATCGGCCAGTGAATACACATAGCTTAGCTGCATGGAAAGTCTTTTTGAAGGCTGTTCTCAGACGTTGTGATAAGATCTCACTATTGACATCACCCGTGAAGTGTAGGCTTGGGAAGATTGACTTTCTGGGACAGTCGGCGACATAGACCTTTTACCCTCTTAGTTCATGTGTTTGTTTTTATAAATCTAGTTGGATATCCATTTCTACTTAGTAGATCGCGAATATTACCGAGTCCTTCGTTCAGCATCTCATTTGACCAGACTTCTAACCAGATTACGTTTGTATTGGAGAGGTACGAAGCTCAGGGAGTGAGTATTTTGTCCAATGGAAGTAGGTTTTCTATACAAACGTCTACATATTGTTCTGTATGTTTGTTTAGTCAACAGGTCGTCCAAAAAGCTCATGGCCAATATGTATTAAGTTTTCAAAAATGATTTTTCGCCTCTCCTTGTAACTGTCTTTTGACTTTGTTAATTTTCACAATTCTAGCTAATTCTATTAGCTTGTTTGTATTCTACGTAACTCTTCTGAGTTATCCTATTCTTCTTAGTCATCACCACTATTTTACTAATTTCTTGATGACGTAATAACTTATTGCTAAAGCCTGAGAACCAACTTAACTTGAATCCCGTGATTAATTCTCACCCCTCTTTTAAAACTTAGATGTCTTGTTACTAACACCTATTAGTTATTTGTTTTGATAACTTTTAACCTCTCGATTTAACCCCCGCCTATACCTAAAACTGATTAACTAAAATAACCACTTGATCGGTCAAAATTATGGTGTAAAGAAATATATTTATATATATAATTGTAGAGTCGATGATGAGGAACTAACTGAAAAAGAATATAACTCCATTATGGATAAGATTTTATTTTGATAAATCACACAGTGTTGTACAGTTATATTAACTGATGACCATGTTTCGAGCACAATGAAAAGGAATATATTTCTTCGTTTAGTGTGTTGTGTTTTCTAAGTCTGTATTCGCCATATGCTGAGGAGACATTGAATTAATGTGATATTGAAGCGGAACTGCAATGAGAATCGACATGTTTTTCCGAATGTGACATGGGAGAGATTATGTAATGATGAAAATGAGAAGTTTTATTTAATCCTGGAAGCAGCTAGGAGTTGTGATACAGAGCTAAGTCAAGTGGAGATGCGCTTTTGAAGTCTTAGTTTCCATTAGCTCGTTGATATATATATATATATATATATATATATTGTCTCGAGAAACATGAATATATATATATATATATATATATATATATTGTTAAGCTTATCTTTCCACACGTCATGTCGGCATCAATATATTCTTTTTGAAAATTTGATCCTTTTACTTAGCGTGTTTTGTAATCAGGGGAGAAAATTCCTATGACCACCTTCATACTACTTTTATTTTATCAGTACATAAATGATGAACTGAGAATTGTGTTTTTTAAGTCCCAATGTACTGCATTGTTATTTCTTTTTTTTGTTGTTAGTAATAATTTACTTTAATGTGTAAAGCATTTAACTGAAAAAGTGTTTGTTGATTTGATATCAGGAAAATGATGATACTGAAGTATAAAGATGGACTAAAAGTTGTAATTCATACTGCCAATATGATACCAGAAGACTGGGATCGGAGAACTCAAGGGTGAGTTGTATTTTTATAATATACACCATTTATGTATTGATGATTGTCCTTTGCATAATGTATTCTTCTCGAAAGTACAATTTGCGTTAAATCTTTGCTTTCTGTCATGATTTCAAATATGTTCCATCCTATCTTATGTGGATGGTGGGACAGCCTTGTTATGAGCATATCGTCAAATATCTTTTTTATATGTGCTGACTGATTTCAAGGTAAATTTATCTGCTTTGTAGTGGAATACTTTATAAAACTTCGGGATTAAAATTAACTTGCTTTTACAGATGTCATACTTATGGTTGGAAAAAAGTAGCCGAACAAGGGATACAGTCATTTCATAATCAGAAGCGAAACGTTTTGAATTTCATCTGAGTTTGGATAAAATCGTGAAAACTGTGTTAGGATTTTCTCTTTTCCCAGTTGTTAATTTCTATCAAATACCTAAATGATTATAGATAATTTTCAGATTTTTTATGTGCAAGATAAGCTACCTAATCTGGCCACTTCAGTGTAGAGATACACAAGGTAGAAAATACAGAGAACAAGGTAGAATGTTTTACGAAGATAACCGTCAGTTTCTTTTGTATAGTCCTAAGTAGTTTAGAAAAATAAAAGTTAAGTGTAGATGCGATCTTCTCCATCACAACTCAAATGGTTGATGCTTGTGTTGCTGTGTTCTTTCAGGCAGATAGTTTATTTGAAAAGCTTTCACTATATTTCCAGACAACATCAGTACAGTTTTTAATGTCGAGTGAAATTTAGGAATTCTCCACGAGTTTTTCATCCAACCAATATTTTTTTCACAGTTGTTATTGCATATGAAGAACCTTATACTGGTACATTTAATGGATACAGAGTCACAGATTAATGGAAGTGTTCCTCCTTTAACCTTTATAAACAATATGCCGGTTTAATTCTCTAGGTTTGTAAACCCTTGACTGCTAAACAGCTGAAGTTGCTATAAAAATATTTCAGTCTAATCTACGTGTTCATGGAAAGCTTGTCCTAGTTATTATCTCTAGTCCTTGGTACTGTGACAGTTTTGTGGTAGTCATGTCTGCAGTGTGGTCAGCAATTCAGAAGAATTATCACCATCGTGTACTTCAAATTATAGTATGCGCTGAGGATGTTGCTTCTCAAGTAAACCAAACCAGCTCAGAGAGCCCAACTAAACTAACACTTTAATTTTATATGGTTGGACTTTTAACAAATTATAATTTATTTTCTGTATCAATCACTTATTAATCGCAAATGTTATGATTGTTATCATCATCATAGATAATAATTGCATATTTTGTCTTACTTTGACGAATTTTTTTTTAAGAAACCGAATACACTGTTATCCATTTCCTACAAGATAGTAGTGAGCATTTCCTTTTTATGCTTACATACATACACAGTCTACTTACAAATCCACAATTATTGACCATGTGGATCACATAAGCACTTACATGATTTTACTATTATTATTATTACCCTGATTACTATCCACTACCCCATATATTTGGATATTTAATCCTTCGGCTACAATATCTATTCTAAATGATTTTAATCTGCTGATTGTAAAGTTTGATGAGTGATTACCAAAAATGCGTATTTACTTGAAGTATGTTTTCCGATGGTGTTTATGTAAGTATAAGTTGATAATTGAATTGGTTATAAAAGGCACGAATGAGTAAAGCTTGTGTTTCATTATATTTATTGTCCTGTCATGCATGAACAATATGTGAGAGGTATAATGCATATATATATATATATATATTAATTTGTGCTAGGTGAACTTTTTCGAACTGATTTGGTTAACCAAATTATTACTTTTACGTATTTGCTTAATTCATTTAATTACTCCTTATTTACTAGATGTCTTATAAGATATTTGTTAAAAAAATATTTAGTTCACCTGAGTAACTCAACCATTTCGTGTGGTATTTTCTCACATTTTAGTATATGGATTAGTCCAAAGTTAAGTTTATTGAATTCCGAATTAAAGAAAAGTTCAAGTTCATCTACAGATTCGGAAACTAACTTCCGTGCAGATCTACTTGAATATTTGAAAGCATATTCAACTGGTGTGACTCAGTCTGTTAATTCACCTTTATTTGAATGGATTGATTGTTTGCATAACTACGATTTTCGACCAATCAAGTAAGCAGCTTTTCATCTTGTAACAGAATAAGTTTCACCGAGATATTCTACTGGTAGAGTGATTGTAAAGCTTTGTCTTGGAAACAGAGGAAATCGCTGTCATACATTTAGTATCTTAGTGAGTGTTATATAATTATAGGATTTTTAATATCACTGGCTGTAAGATGATGGTGATTAGGAACGCAGATAAGATGGGTAGACTGAATCGATTCTCAACTACTAATTAGGGAGACCTCTTTAACTCCATCCACACCGTCGTAATACATCAATAGATGCTAATCCAACACCACTATCCTCCGTTTGCAAATGCAACGTGGTAAGAGCCAGATATCCGTTGCTTCCAACCAGTCTCAGGAGTGAAAAATAGTGGGTGGTATGGAAGCTTTTGGGATGATATTTTTGGCACTTGTGCAAGCCACCGACATCTGTATCCCGAGATTATATATTTATTTAAATATGATCTGCACCAGTCCCAAGCACACACAGTCATACTTCAAAATTACTCACATATTTCGTAAGTTTACTTGATATGGCGCACAGTGATACAGTTTTAATAACTGTGTTAGTGGAATTATGGGGAATTATATTCTAACGCAGTCTCCAAAGTTCACTCTAATATTTACTCAGGATATGTTGCATGATGACACCACTAGATACAAGCAGTTCTATAAGGAGAGCATAGATCGGATGCACAAGGTCGTTGTGTATCTCCAGCTTTAGGAGGGATATTAAGTCGATTGAGACATCTGAAGTGAAGGGGTGCGTCACGTTCCAGACTCGTCAGCAGACTATGTTTACATTCATACTGATATATTTACTTAGGTTATTATCTGCTTAGGGATATAAGTTTGTTATAATGGGTCTTATTCTCTTATGAATGTAAATGACCCTTATCCTTTTTGTGGGATACATGCTCCATCTCTGTGATTTTGTACTAAGACTTTTACTTATGAGAAAATGCATAATGTAGTTAGTCTTTTCTATTTTAAGTTTTACTGAAATAAAACTCACATGATAAAGTCACATGTATGAATAACTTCTTTTAAAAGATTCAAGTAATGACTACACATCTAAGCTAATATGGGTATATTAGCCTTAGTGATCCTTTCCTAGAAAACTTAATGTGTACACCTAGTCCATTTTATTTCTATTTGTGCAAAAGGGTTGTGTTAATTGCCTCAGTCTCTGGTAGATTTGTTGGTCAGTCAATGAAGAAATTCGGCCATCCTCGTTTAGCACAGGTATGATTATTTACTTGATACTTTGAGTAAATGTTATATTCGATTTTTAACTGAAGTGTTGAGCATGTTACCATGATACGGCAAGCGTTTGGTTGAAATCCTTTATATAAATCCATTATCTTTTTATTGTGTTATCAATGGTAAATAATGCAATTGTTTTAGTCAAAATGACCTCAGCTTCTTATCCTTCTTATTGATCTTATTCCTAATTATTATTGGATTGTATTCAGGTATAAATTGCTTTGTCATGATTTGTGCTTTTCGAATTAAGGTCTACTTCGAACAAAAACAATGGGACTATACAATTGTTCCTTCTATGATTCTATATTTATGAATCCATTAATATTCTAAGTACTAATTATTCTTTTTATGAGTATGTTATGAAGATATTCACAGTACTAATGAGGGTGTTTTCTTGTGATTGTGATTAGTTTTTTCCCTTTTTCTCTTCTAATATTTACATTAATTAGTAGTGACGAAATTTCGTATCTGTGATTCATTTTTATCTTGTAATTATTATTTACCTCGTAAGGCAGTAATAAGTCTGGTAAAGAGGGAAGATTGGGCATGAGGCTAGCAACCCCATCCCGTAAAAATACACATCACTTACTAACGAAACCTCAAAGCTGCAGCTTGAAGCCCTATATTCCACTGGGAATGTGAAATAATAAAAAAATCGTATATATAAATATGTATATTTTGATGGTAAAACTTAGGTGTTGCATAAAATAAATTATTAAATCGAGGTAGACATGAATGCTTCATGACGTTTAGTCGAATTTTGAAGATGTTTGTGCTTTCAGGAATTCCAGTATATTCGTTGGGTATAAAAAATATGATAAGGCATTGTATTTTCAGTCGTTCTACGTCGGTTTTTCAGAGGTAGAATGCTTGCCAACCAAGCATGTACTACGGGGCTCAATCCCTGGCTTACATACTCCTAAACCTCGCTAAGCTGGAAGTAAGCTGGGTAAAGATGGGAGTTTAAACGTGAAGCTATCTTATATCGTAAAGATAAAAACTACTACTCAAACTACATAGCTCGAGCTTGAAACCCTCTGTCCCACTTGGGATGCAAAGGAACAGAGCTCTTGAAAAATTCAGTCTTTGCAGTTTTTGTTCCCGATAGGATAAATGGTATAATGCCTTACCCACTCCCTTACTAGGTCAGCGCTTCGGTGTTAGAAAAGTGGTCAATCATGCAAGTGGTCTAGGGTTCAATATCTGGCCGACACACTCCTATACTTGGCTTATACAATAGACATGATCAAGGGGAGAGGTCGGGTGTGAGGCTAGAAATCCCATCCCGTAAGAAAAACACTGCTACTGTGATGTCAGAAGTCCACCTTGAAGCCCTGTTTCCCATGAAAATACTTTGATCACTGGCAGTGATGATCGGATTTTTATAAAAGTAAGTCATAGATAGCTAGAAAAGATCAGCAACAGGGATCTCTGGGAGCGAAACAACCCAGTAGAAACCGATTGTGCAACAAACATGCGGGAAGAAATGGAGGTGGATTGACCGTACTCTGGGAAACTATCAAGTGACATCACACACCAGGCCATTGCTCGAGTGGAACTCGAATGGAAGTGGCGAATCGGAGGTGACATGGGGGAGGTCATGTGAAGAGGAGATGAAAGCATGTGAACAGACGTTGAGCCAGGTGAAAATGTTTGAGGGAACCGAACGCATTAGAGACGTTCGGCTGAAGCCCTATATTTCTATAGGAACTAAAGGAAACAATAATAATACATAGAAAGTTAGTAAGACGGTTACCGCTAAGTATTAGTTTAGGATTTGATCCCAGTAAATTAGCGGGATTTTCGAAGGCAGTTATTTGAGTGATCCCGATGTACGCGATTTTTAACAACCAAGTGGGAAGTCAGGTTTTCATAATATATGTGAAAGTGTTATATTCATGATTTTATTTGCTCTGTAGGAAATTTATGCCTACATACTAATTTTAAGTGCCTAGTTTTGATTAGACAGTCTAGCTTCTAAAAGGATAATGTTCGATCTTACAACATATCAACGAATTATTTTATAGTGGACTTGATTGCAGCAAAATGTAATTATGATTCTACGGAGTTTGTAAATGATATTGTTGTGCGTGAGTGGCACAGTGGTTAGGACTCTCGCCGACCATGTACATAGTCCGAGGTTCGATCCCCTGCCGATGCACACCTGATATCTATGGTCGGCCTGCAAAATTCGGGCTACCGATATCCATGCTGAAAATTCCTTACTTGTACCAAAAATACAGTGTGGAATCAAGCTGTAATCAGAAATAAAAAAAATAAAAAATGAGAGTTCTTTTTTATGGATCCTTTCTTCTTTCCCCTTTGACAGAGACTCCTCATTAAAATTAGGGATTTTTTTGTGTTGGTTAGTACCCATTTATTAACCGCACAATGTCATTCTTTTATGTAATTAACCATAAATGCTAAATACTTTAATCCCCATTTGTTTCTTCCAGGTTTTGCATGCTGTTAACAATCGAATTCCTTCATCTTGGCCAGTAGTCGGACAATTTTCAAGTATCGGTTCTCTTGGATCTCAACCCCCAGCTTGGTTCACCACAGAATGGTCTTCTAGTTTGGCTGGTCGGGGAGCTCGCGGATTACGAATGGTGATATATATATATATATATATATATATATAAAATTTGACTCATCAACAGCATTGAGTTACTTTTATCCCTAGTGATTTTTAAAAATTGTTCCTAGTGTTGGTTTTATTTTACCCTTGACGCAATTCACAAGGTCTGTTACGCGGTTAGTGCAAAAGTAGATTTATGGTTAGTACTAAGCGTACAAGCTTGCCTTCAGTCTGTCTGAAATTTGAGAACTCACTTGATTGACTCATAATTTCACATGAGAATCTAATCGAATTTCACCTAATTTGATTGCCAAAAATATCTGTAAACCTAGTTAAGAAATATAGTGTTTTGGAGCTGAGAAGTTTTGTTTATTCAAGACGTGTGAAATGACGCACTGAATTGAGCTAGAAGTATAAAAGGTGAAAAATTAACCGCAAATTGTTCACCTTATTTTGCTAGGAATAGTTACTAATTTAATTTGGTTTCGATTAGAGGATTGTTAAGATAAATTTTGTTGATTTTAATTATTTGTTTGTTACCATATCATTCGCCTATGAGGTACAGATCAATTAGCCTGTAGCGGCTTTCTAGGCTTAGGTTGGAGTAGGCGAGAACAGGGATTTCGAAGATGGTATCCACTAAACCAGTGAAAACTTGATGACACTCTGTGTGAAAAGATCTTCAATCTAATCCCTGACACTATACCCCTTGTGTATCATATCTAATATACTTACATACTATGATAGTCTACCGTAGTATTACATTTATGACTGTAAGTATGCTTTTTGAGAACCATTTCATACATAAACAATCCAGCGATTACTTACTGTTTCTAATTAAGCTGTCTTCTGAATATTTTGATATTTTGTTTAGTTTTTTGTTTGTGTATGTAGTTGAAATAAAACTGAGTGATTTATTTATTGACTTTGTATATGTGTTGCACATATTCAGAGGTGACATTCTATATTACAGTTCGTGTGTTGAGTGCCTATACCCAGTGATGTTATTTTTCTTAGTCAAAGCAGTAAGCATTTTCATGTATTGAATGTTATGGATACTAAGTTGTAGAGATGTGGCTCATTGTCTGAAGCACTCATCATTCAGCTAATAGCTTTTGGATCTGTTTTTTTCCGTTCCAACTGCTTCGACCTAGACAACTGCTTAGTATCATTAAACCTCACAGGATAGGTGTGGCTTATAGCCTCGTGTACGAAAAATATATCCCGAGTAATTGAGTCCAAGCAAGTATTAAGTGTGTCTCATTACCAACTGGCTTTACTAATTACATAATGAGGTATTTTAAAAAAATCCATTAGATATTTAAAACAGTTGTTCTCAGTAACTTCTCCCCCGGGGCGTACAGTAATAAACTTCTAAATAATATCATACGGTAATGAGTAAAGAGCAAAATAAAATTATATCAGTAACTGTATTATGAACAGATGGAATCTAATGAGGTTGAAGTTGGAAGTGGAGTAGTAAAAAATTAATCTAATTTATCATTTAAATGCATGCAAAGTGTACAGTCAACACAAAAATGCGATGAAATAACTGAATAGCATGTTTGTGGATTAATAATCAATTTTGTTCTTGATTCCCCTGAAGATGTTAACACTAGTTTGATGAATGAAACTTGAGTATTATTTGTTTCATTAGTTACGTAATGGGCGATGACTTCACGGGAAATGAAAACCTGAGTCACTATAGAACTAGTAATTCACAGGTCACTAGTTCGAATCCTTCCACAGACCAGATTTTTATTTGACTTTCAATTATCATTCATTTTGATGAGTAATAGTCTCCCGACTCAAGACTGTTTCAGCTGGTCTCTCCACGTATTTGAATATCGCTGAAATTTGTACGAATATAACTTTCACAAATGCCTACTTTTCACTCCAAGTTTGTGGACTTTCCTGACCAAATCTTGATCAAAACTCATACAGACAAGAGTGTAGGTTCAAAGGAAAGACTTATAATCAGGGAAACAGAATATGTGAATATAAGTTTATAGGATAATAAATAATAATATGAATAATGATGTAATGTATAGTAATGTTTTTTAAATGGAATGAGAAGGACAGTGAAGATAGTTAGGCTTCAGAGGCACATAGTAGACACGGAATAATTAGATCTTTGATGGCTCCATAGATTGTCAACACAGACATACTTCAAGCTGATTCTTAATCCCTCCCGTAGATCCAGCTGTAGATAAGAGGTGGAATCGTGTACCTTGGTATGTTTCTTCGCACTCGATAAATGATCGTAAATTGTTTTGTTCTGAACTGGAGTTCACTGCCTGCCAAATGGGACACGATAGCATTGTTTATTGACCTATTTAATCCCTTTCCCAGCTAGAGTGGTACATGTTCACGAATGCATAAGGACAAATTCCTCTGGAAACGTTTTATGTAACTATATTCGCTCAGGCAATTGCAAATTGATGTGGTCATCATCAGTAATGCGTTGGTTGGGATAGATTTGGTCGAGAGACTGATATGTAATTCTGGACCTTAAGTGTCCTTACAACAGATCTACCCAACCTGCAACTTGATATATCGCGCTTGAACTCCACTTACGTGAAGACAATTTTAGTTCACTGTATTACGCCTTATTTTATTGATTTCCCTTGATTTATGGTTTTTACGAAAACACTGGTATATTTGTTTCGGAGAGGAGCACTCTCCAGGGATTTAATTTCTCCACATATACAGTAAGTGAAGGAGATAAAGTCTTGCCTTGTGACTAAAACATTGAATTACATCTGTTCTGAATCAGTTTGAAGCTACGAAATCGAGCACACTGTCTGTTTCATGCAGTTTTCCTAAAAATGTTTTTTATAGACATTTTAGTCCTTTTGGTAAGAAAGACACTCATAAACTAAAGGCTACTTTGATATTCTTCGTACCAATTAAATACAATAACTAGATGGATATTATTAGGTTTATCGTAAACGGCGAACTCATCGTCTAAAAAGGAGCGATTGTATCCAAGCCTATTCAGTGTCTGTCTTAGTAGACCATTTTCTGATTTTGCTGAGAAAATATTAGGTAATACAGGATGAAGTGTGAAATCCATCCCAACACAATCCAATATATTTACCGATAAAATTCTTTGTTAAGCATCAAGTAAATGTTCATCATACACTCAGCCTATAGATCTTTCAATTTCGCAGGTAAGATCCTCATATTGTTGATGTGGTTGTATTCTCTGAGCTGGATGGTTGATTTGTGAAGCTTTCATCACCCTACTAGGTGACATCTTCAGTGCATACTTCAATTTGAAGTGAGCTTTTAGATTTCTCCACGAGTTTATTAATCATCTTCAAACTGAAGTATGCGCTGAAGATGTCACCCAGTAGGGTGATGAAAGCTTCACAAATTAACCATCCAGCTCAGTGACCCCAACCATATCAAAATCATCCACCTGAGCTACAAATCTTCTCTATCATATCCTCATGTTGACTTGTCGTTTACGTATGTAGATAAACGTTAATGTAAAGCAAGATACTAGTGAACTGTGTTTAGGTGACTCGCAGTCAGATGACATAGTGAATTTGACTGTAGAGAATAACTATGAAGTTTTGAGTATTTTCAATCCAAATATTATTTCATCTTAACTGTCGTATTATAATAGTGTAATAATATTTTAATTCTATTTTTTTTTACTTAAAGTTTTAATCAAAAGTTGTAATTATTTGTTTGAAACCTTCATAGATTTACCCGTGCGTTGAGGATGTTCGTAACAGCTTAGAAGGTTATCTTGCCGGTGGTTGTCTACCGTACACCAAGCGAACAGCTGAAAAACAACCATGGCTTCGTCAATTCCTTCATCGTTGGCAAGCTTTCGGACATAGTAGAGCTGCTCCTCATATTAAATCATATACTCGAATGTCACCTGATGGCAGACAGATTGGATGGTTTCTTTTAACTAGGTGTGTTAACTAACTAGTAAATAGTTTTCGTAATAGTCTTTAATTGGCGGATGGTGACTAGCAGTGGAATAGTCCTTTATTTAAATATTATATTTATTTAATAGAAAGTTGTAAATGCTTATGGTTCTTTTACGTGAACTTTCAAATGTAGTATAATGCAGACTATTTTTAAAATGTTAAGAAATTTATAAATTCTGCTGTAATTGATGTGGTTAGGATTTCAAATTTACTGGGCTGAGTTTATGTAATTGTGTACATTTACCAACAACCTTAGATAAACTTATTTTTTACTTCTATGCTATTATTAAGGCTGTATTTATCACATCGATGACCTCCTGTTTGCAGAACAACACATTGGCTACTGAAAAATGAGGATTGAAGTTGCATTTGTTAGGTATATGTTAAATTAAATGTAATTTCCTAGATCAAGGATTACTGGTTATTATCTTAAAATAGTTGATCCCACTAAGTCAGTCATTATATAACCTACAAAGCAGTGTAACATTTAAATCGTTTATAGACATAAATTCTGTTGGGTTCTGTCATATTTTCTTTTTGAAAATTTTAGTGCCAATCTTTCTAAAGCTGCTTGGGGTAGTTATGAAAAATCAGGAAGTCAGCTGATGATACGTTCATATGAACTTGGTGTCCTATTCTTACCATCGAATTATATGGTAAGTTGCAGTTTTATCTATTTCTTATATTCGAGTTGGTCGGATATTAAGTAGCAATCATTTTAGGCGAGACTTTGACAAGATACACATTATTTTCTTATTTAGGTACAATACCGTTTTCGGTGATTACTTTTCATTGTAAAATGTCGCGATTTATAATGTATTATTACTATTCACTGTTTGCGTTTTAAGTGGCACATAAGGCATCTCCATTTCACTTGACTTCTTGCAATCACTTGATGACCTGGCATATGAACATGCCAACCTCGTTTCCTTCTGCATACTTGTTAGGTAATAGGTTCTTGCCTGCTGGTCTGATGCTTCCTAGAGTTCTGTCCGACTTATCATTTCTGGTTGGTTACCTGGTCTTAAATATGCAGCCGGTTAGAAAAGCTTTCGGTTACACTCACGCCAAGTCTCTGAACCATATAGAATTACCGATGTGATATTGGTCTTACAAATTCGGATCTTATTGTTGTGATTTCTGTATGTCTCCACACTTATTTCAGAGTAGTGAACATTTCTCTTTCTTTGGTGATGGGATGGTGACCGACTGACTTTAAAATAGTTATCCGCACTGCTGCTTGTAGTTGGAACGACATTTCCCATATAAGGCAAGTGGAAGCGGTGACTTTCTTGAGAATCGTCACGTTGGCGGTGATAAGAGGTTATTGTTTTTCGTTAGGTACCCTCGTCATCTCCGTCTTCTGCATTTTCACCTTGCGTTGTATCTGCGATGTCTCTTCTGCTGACGTTCTTTGAATTTTGAGACACAGAATATAGATAATCCTCATAGGTCAGACCTTTTCGGGTCTTTTTGTCGTTCCAACACATGTCCTACTTCTCACTCTCCACCATCTGCTGTATAATCCTGTCCACCGTAACCATTCAGATCATCGGTGATAGTAATCAACCTTGTCTTCGTTTCAAATACCTAATTGAACTTTTCGTCGTGAATTACTCTTCATATGTCGTGGCTGCTAAATTTGTTTCTATAAGTGTCTCCAACAAATGGATTCACGGTCAGTGCTATGAATTCCGAGGTACAGAGTTGAGTACTGTTCGAGGATGTGTTCGTTGATAATGCGAGGTACTGATATTCCGTCTGCGCATGAATTAATGTTTTATTTGGATCCATTCTGTTGTAGAATAATTTACCCGTCGGGTTTATAGTGTCACAATAAATTAATACTCTTTCAGGCCTAATAGTCTGGAGTATATAATTTTTCAATAAGATAAATCAGTAGGTTCACAGATTTCATACTACCTGTTAGTTCATTCTACGTTCTCAGAAATAGTATAGGAAATACATCATTTGAAATTAATTTTTGTTTGAAATCTATTCCTTGAATTCGAGTATAAGCGTTATAGAGGACTCCATTGTGTAAGTTTATCCTTTTTGTTAGCATGCTTTCAAGTTAAAATTTTCTAAATAAGTCTCCAGTTGTTCTACGGTAGATAAAAACGTTCTGATTGAAGGTTTCATAGGCCAGTTACTTACATCTACGTATTTCATCATTCATTGTTAGGAGCTAGAGAAGCAATGATGACTAAAGATCAATGAGACACGCGTTCCACATAAGTTAGGCCAAAATCCTCAGATTTGCTAAATCCATTCACTTGGTTAGTATTTGATTAGTTTGAGTTCACTACCCAGTATGAGTATTATATTTTCAGATGAGAACGGCGCAATGGCGCAGATGCATCCACTCCTTGTGACTCATGATTTCCAATGAAACTGTTTTGTTCTTCATTATAGGTTTCCAGACCGTAGGTGTTACGAATTTCCTGGAATAATTTGTGCGCCGAGTCAGATTGATTCATTATAAATTATTTAAATTAATCCCAGCGTGTTAAGAAAATCAAAACAAGATTTTTCTGAACGTTTCGCCGTGTAAGCCACAGCTTCTTCAGCAGATTTATTCGGATTATAATTAATCATCAAAATATATAGTCAAAAATTTTTACATAAAATGAAGTCAGTTTATTTGAAGGTCATTTGTCTGTGGACATTTTTACCAATAGAAATATGTAAGCTGTCCTCCCATATATTTGTAATGACTAATGTCAAATTGTTGTTGTGTTTACTCTTCTATAGTTGATTTGTAAAGATTAGATTTGTATGTGTGTGTGTGTATGTATGTTATTTGTCATATGGAAAATACGTGAATTCATATGTGATAAACGTGTCACTACATGTTTTAAAGGTCATGGAGGCTCATAGAGTGTTTGTTGTTTTCTCATCTGTCTTGCTTCATTAGAGTTTGCCATATGGGTGAGACGTCTATCCCTTCTTTCCTACTTACTGCATTCGGTGTGGTTAAAATGTGCAAGCCTCTAGAGGTCAACCTTTCTTTATGTGAATGAAATCCGCTTTCTAAAATTTCGACATTGTCGAAATCAATCTTATGTCTGCTGTCCATCGCATACATTGCTATAGCTGATCTTTTCTCCAGACTTTTTAATTCTACTTCATTTCTAGGTGGACGTTTCGTGCATAGTCTATGTTCATTCACTCTGACCCTCACCTGTCTACTGCTGTCCCCCATATGTCAAGCTTCACATTTTAAACACATTATCCTATAGACACAATTACTTTGTGACATTTTGGGAACCAAATCTTGGACATTCACCAACGCTTTCTTCAGAGAATTAGAGGGCTTGAAATAGACTTTAATATTATATGAAGTAAATGCTCAGCTGTGTCCTTTCAATATGGGATGACTATCGTCGATAGCCAAGATTTTTCAATTTTCTGTTTTCCCTTCTGCTTTTCTATCGACAATATTATCCAGTAGCTTTTCCGGATAATCATTTCCAATCAAAATCTACTTTATATTCCATATCTCGTTCTCCATATCATTATTTGTTATAATGTTTCTAGCTCTGTTAATGAGATTTAAAGCTACTGAAACTTTCATTCCTATTGGATGATCTGGTCGGAAATTCAAATACTTGTTGGAATGTGTCGGTTTTCTGTATATTGTAAACTTTAGTTTCTTGTCAGTTTGTCTTTTTACAAGACAATCAAGAAATTTTAGAGTTCCCTCAGCCGATTCTACTTCATCTGTAAACTCTATATATTCTGAGATTAAGTTAATCTCTGTTAGAAAGCATTCTTTTTCAGCTTTCTTCACAATGATAAATGTGTCATCTACATATCTGTATCATATTCTAGGATGAAAACTAAAATTTACTATTACTTTTCTTTCTAGAGCTTTCATGTACAGGTTTGCTACAATTAGAAATGCTGGAGAACCCATTGCAATTCCATTTGTTTGACAGTACAGTTTGTCTTTAAATGTAAAATATGTAGATTCCAAACAAAGTTTTAAACATTTTATAACTTCATCTATTGATAATAAAGATTTAGTTAATACTTCTTGATTGTTTTCAAGTTCACATTTCATAATATTGAGCAAATTACATACAGGAATACTAGTAAATAGAGAAACCATATCGGAACTTGCCATAATTGCGTCTTCTTCAATAATTATATCCATTACTTTCTTTTTAAATTCATCAATATTTTTGATGTTCGAAGGAATATTGTATTGAAGTGGTTTCAGTATTCGTGATATGTATTTTGATAAAGTATATGTTACTGAATTGGTAAAATCGATTATTGGTCTTAAAGGAACGTTTATTTTATGTAATTTTGGCCTTCCATAAAATCTCGCGGCCGTGTTTGTCTTGGGAGCTATTGAGAACCAAACTGAATTCCCCAGTTTTGGTTTCAATTCTCTAAGTATATTGCATACTTGTGCTTTTACTTTGTTCATAGTACTAGACATTTTGTTTACTGGTACTAATGTGTATGGCCCTGTTTCGATATGCTCTAAAGCTTTCTTGTCGTAGTCGTCTTTGTTAAGAATTACGGTGATATTGCCTTTGTCAGCTTTAGTAATAACAATAGATTTGTCTGATCTTAATGTTTGTAAAGCATGACGTTCGTTCTTCGACGATAGCCATTCCATATCGAAAAGACACAGCCGAACAACTTCAAAGACTATTTGCTGCATATAATATTAAAGTCTATGCTAAACCTTCTAATTCTCTAGAGAAAGCGTTAGTGCATGTCAAAGATATAGTTCCCAAAATGTCACAAAGTAATTGTGTCTACAAGATAAAGTGTTCAGAATGTGAGGCATGCTATATAGGGGAGAGCAGTAGGCAGGTGAAAGTCAGAGTGAATGAACATAGACTTTGCACGAAACGTCCACCTAGAAATGAAGTAGAATTAAAAAGTCTAGAAAAAAGATCGGCTATAGCAATGCATGCGATAGACAGCGGACATAAGATTGATTTTGACAATGTCGAAATTCTTGGAAGAGGATTTCATTCACATAAAGAGAGATTGACTTCGAAAGCCCTACACATTTTAACCACATCAAATGCAGTGAATAGGAAAGAAGGCATAGACTTATCTCCTATATGGCAAACTCTTATGAAGCAAGACAAATGAAAAAACAACAAACACTCTATAAGCCTCCATGACCCTTAAAACATGTAGTGACACGTTTATCACAATGAATTCACGTATTTTCCATATGACAAATAACATACATACACACACACACATACAAATCTAATCTTTACAAATCAACTATAGAAGAGTAAACACAACAACAATTTGACATTAGTCATTACAAATATATGGGAGGACAGCTTACATATTTCTATTGGTAAAAATGTCCACAGACAAATGACCTTCAAATAAACTGACCTCATTTTATGTAAAATTTTTGACTATATATTTTGATGATTAATTATAATCCGAATAAATCTGCTGAAGAAGCTGTGGCTTACACGGCGAAACGTTCAGAAAAATCTTGTTTTGATTTTCTTAACACGCTGGGATTAATTTAAATAATTTATAATGTTTTGTTCTTCGTTATTACTATTCCTTTGTCTCACCTCTGTTTACTGTCTCTAATATACATTTCTACTTTCTTCTCTTCCTTTGTGTGCTACATGGAGTGTTGCGACTTGAACTCCCGCACATATGTGCAAAGTTCTATGTCGAAAAAAGACAGACAGATGAGAACGGTATTGTCAGAAGCCTGGAAAGCAAAAGGATGTCAATGAATAACTGCAAAATGTGTTAATATGATGATTATTTTACCATTAACCTATATTCACTGGTGTATCACACTTAAACTTAATGTGTTTCGCAAATGATAACTTTTATAAGAAGTTACCATGAATAAATAATTTATACAGTCAATAATTTAGTTTATTTTTAGTATTAATTGATAAAATTTGCATCGCGAATAAAACGGAAGAAGAAGCTGTTTTTCTATGTATCGTAATACTGAAGTAATGTGTTATCGACTGGAACACTTGATAAATCCCTAAAACGTATTTTTTCAGGTTAAGATACATCACTGTCAAGAAAATGATCGTTACTTTTCAAACAAGCTACTTAAAAAGGCAAATAATGATTTTTCGGCACTTTTGTATGCACTTCTATCCCTTATAATTTATAATTCATGGTTGTGTATGACACTAAAAAGTGATGAAGTAGTATGTATGAAAATAATACATCGTTAAAGTTCTTCGGTGTACCTTTTGACTGAAATCATGCAGAATAAATTATTCTCTTTCAGACAATGATCGTTTGGGAGAGCAGGAAGTTAGCTATTTTGCAGCTATTCATGGTTTTTCATAATCTTTTCACATGTTGGTTCTTACGAAAGATTTATGTTTGATGGTAATGAATATATAAATGAATGTTGTGCTTACTGTTACTGTCCTTTTATTTCACATCTTTTCGGTGTTTCACATTTCATTTTTACTGTCAAAAGAGCGCTGATAGAGTAAATGTATGAGAGCAGATAAACACTACTGAAATGTCCTGTCATTTTCAACAGGATAGAAGAGTATTACAAAAAAGATAGTGATAATGAAAACTGAATGCTTCAATAGTGAAATTGTTAACTCAGAACAATTGTTTGGATTTTTAATCAGTTTTTCTGATTGGTCGACTCTCAAGAGAACTGTTATTATTATCAATTTGACCCTTAACCAGAAATTATTCTGGAACTTCCCCATCCATTTGATATAAATACACGAATGTACAACCTAGATGATGACTTCGTCGAAGAGAAAATTTTCTTCGCTGCAACTGTCTTCTTAAGAACTGTTACCGTCTGAAAACAATTTTTAATGTTTCAATGGGTTTACTATCATTGAAGATATGATAGAGAAGATTTGTAACTCAGAAGGATGATTTTGATGTAGTCGTGTTCTGTGAGCTGGATGGTTAATTTGCGAAGCTTTCATCACCCTACTAGGTGACATCTTCAGTGCATACTTCAATTTGAAGTGAGCTTTTAGATTTCTCCACAAGTTTATTAATCATCTCTCCTGGTGACCTTGGACGTCATTGGTTGCTTTTGTGCGTTTTCACACCTTCTAGGTTACTTGTATTGAAACTGATTGTTTCTTTGACTTGAACTTTGACCCTTTGTGTGTGAAATTGTTTCCTTATCGGTTGATAAATTTTGTCTATGTCGATGTGTCTATTGATTGATGATTCACTGGAATACCAGGCAGCCTTCAAATATTCTCTAGCAATCTTGTTGTTTCCTCTGTCTAATATTTGTACGTTGTCCCAGTCGAACTGATGTCCATGGTTGTCTGTATGTAGTGATATGAACGGGGAGTGGATATCATGTCTTTTGACGGCTAGCTTATGTTCGTGGATACGAAGACGAAGGGGACGTCCACTTTGGCCAATGTAGTGTTTTTCGCAGTTGTTACAATTTATTTTGTAGATGAATTGCAGATAAATCGCAAACATTCTGAGACAGCTTTCCAAAATTAAACTCATTGACAACTATATATACAGCAGTTTAAAACCTCAAGGATCTCTTATACTTTGCACATACAGTTCGCTGAAGACAACTAAACACCAAAGTCACATTAAACAGTCCCAGAAATTAGTGTTGATCATGAAAAGTATAAGCCTAACGAGAACATGCTGCTTGTGTGTTTATTTATCACTTATACCAGTTAGGGGGAAAAAACTGTTGAATTCCATATCTTATATTTCAGGAGTCAGCTGAAACATTTGAAGTTTTGGACGGTGGCTTAAAGCGATCGCATACATCATCACAAGGGGTCTACCACCATTTCCAGTGCCGTATGAACTACCTCCTGTAGAATACAGTTCAAATGGTGAGTGAGCGTTTATCTGCCTCTAGACTGATACAAATATACATTGCACTTACTTTGGGAAAGTTTTCACAATGTGAATACATATAAAAATACATTCATGAACAAGGCAAAATTACGCTGATTGTGTTTACATAATATACTGCTGCTACTGTTGAGCAACACTGTTGATTATTAATTTATAAACTGTTGAAATGTACCTTATATACTAAACTCATAATAGTCTGTTTAGTATATTTCTGGAACAGTGAGGCAACGTTATTTACTGAATGACTTTAGTAACACAATTTATTTTGGTAATTTGACAACTTCGTAACTTGGTTTTGATAGTCCTTTTTCATGCTTCCTTCCTTCCAATTTGTCGTTAGGCTAGTATAATTTTTCCAGTGGCAGGGACAGGTGTTGAATAACGCCTGTTTCAACTATTCCCACGTATTTAACACCTATCCCAGATATCCAGAAATTTTCTGAAGTCTTACGATAAGAAGGGGGGGGAGAAGGTAAACTATAAAGATCGGGTTTCCAAGAGTTGTATAGTCACAAATGTTGTAATTTTGGAAAACAAATTATTTTCTATACATCGTCGAGTAAATAATACTTTTCTCTGTCTGTTTTATCAGTTAATTACTTCAATACGGAATTGCACGGTCGTATAGTATTTACTGATAAACACTAAGTTACATATAGTCTAAACTTCAGTTTTCTATCAATTGGATAACATGAAGTATTACATATTTCTTTTTACTTGTTAATTTCTGCAGATGAACCATGGATAATAGATGAAGCGTCTAAACTCCCTGATGTATTTGGTAATGTATGGGAACCTCAGTAGATATTCTGTTGTCTCCTGTCATATCCAAGAAGGTTCACGAAGTTTGTGTAATACTTATGCCTACTTCTATATGTGTAAATGTTTATCAAAATTGTATGAAGTATCTTTTGCCTTTATACATAAGTGAATTTATCAGAAGACTAACTGTATGGTTTAATAAAAAATTCTACTTGCAAATACATTTCGCTTTTTATACCTCGATGAGTAGTACAATAGTCGGGAGTTTTCACTGACGTTTGTTTTCTTTTAACTAGTGTTTCTTTTGTATTGTCTATTGAAAGTGAGTATTGTTTTTCTTTGCTTCGACTAAATAGCGCTCACTGATGACAGTGGTAAGAAAAAAAACACAATGATGAATGAATAAATGCTGAACTCTTTCTTAGTTTATGTTTAATTGACTAAAAATGCCCATTAAAATTTTCAAAAGAATGCATACTGAACAAAGAGTACTCCTTTCGATAAATTCATCATCAGGCTCTACATTTATACATACATTATAATGAATGAATGAATTAGTGTTATGAACAACATTAATGTTTAAATAACATCAAATCAATAATATTGATAGATTGCAGCTGAATCGCATCAACATAGAATAAGCTGAATGTCAGAAACATTAAGAAAGATAATATTTGAACAATGCAAGAACTACAGTTTTAGCAGAATAAAATGGTACCATCTTTTATTTCGTTGCCTTCTCGTCAGCTGCTTACATGGCAAAGACATTATTAAATATATCTACAACAACAATTTTAACATACTTGCACAGAGTTCAGTTTAAACAAAAAATCAATCGATCAATATACGCATACACTAAAAATATATACATATATAAATATGCAATATTAACCACATGAATTTATAGCTTCTACTGAAGGCCAGGGCAATATAGGGGCTGGACTTGCTTCTTTTGGACTCAGAGTGCTGGTTGTTTGAGGCGAATCGCAATAGCCTCTGCTGTTTGGAGCCTGCGGTGCTTCGATGTTTTTGGTAATTTATTTGGCACCCGGTATAATATAGAGAAGGATTCATCTACGCTGGCTTTGTGTCCTGTTTGCACCAGATGTTCCAATATCGAGCTGTTAATAGTTTTCACTACACCTTTGCTTAGCCATACTGGGAGATGTTCTCGAGGACGAAAAATCAAGTTCCTAGAGCAACGGCCAATATAACTGGCTCCACAAGCGCAGTGGTCTAGTCTAGGTACTTCATCTTTCAGTCGAGGAATCACCTTCGGACGTGTAGAGAATAAGACGTGTAGTTCGCCAGCAGTAAAAGCTCTTTGAACTGATTTTCTTAATTTCTTCGCAACTATCTTGTTTGGTATATCGCCCTTGAATTGTAGTCGTATATAAAGGGGCTTCTTTTTTACAGATAGTGAGTGCTCCTTTTCCTTTTTCTTTGCCATATGTTTCTTGATAAATTTTTCGGGATAGCCATTTTCGATCAAAGTATCATATACAATCCTTAATTCATCTTCAATTACTTCTTCTGAGCATATAGCTCTAACTCTGTGGCTGAGGGTCTTCACTAAGTTTCTTTTATACTTGATAGGAACGAAGCTGTGAAAATGTGTATATTGTCCTGTCCAAGTGCTTTTTCTATGCAAATTTCTTTTTATGCTACCATCTGGTTTTTTGGTAAGTAGGACATCCAGGAAGGCAATTCTGTCTTCGCATTCCTCTTCGCATGTGAATTTCATAGCCGAATGTACTTCATTTAATTCAGTAATTATTGTACTCTTATCAGAACCATTTTCACAAAGAATAAAGGTATCATCCATATATCGGCAATAAAATGAGAACTTACTGATAAGGTTGTTGAGAGGTCCATTTTCTAGCTTACTTAGAAAGAAATCAGCCAGAATGGGACCCAATGGGGAGCCCATCGCCACTCCGTCAACTTGTCTGTAAATCACTTTTTGATTTTATTTCACTTCATTCCGTTGAATTTTCGACAATTTTTAAGTACTCCAATACTAAAAGTGATCTCTTCTTTTAACTTAATTCTACTTCTGTGAAAGAAAAACTTTTTATGTGTTTAATTGCTCATCTAACTACTATGTAAAGTAAATAAAATATTTTATTGTTCCCATTGGTTCCTAGTGGAACATAGGGCTTCAACTGCACGTCTCCATTTTCTTCTGTCTTCTGCTGTACTTTTCGCCTCCATCCATGTTAGTCCATACTCTTTCACCTTCTCTTCACACGATCTCCTCCATGTCACCCTTGCACTGACGTCCCATTCGTCGTTTCCATTTCGGGTTCCTCAGAGAATGTCCAATCCGTCTCCACTTTCTCCTGCATATTTGTTGGGCGATTGGTTCTTGTTTTGTTTGTTCCCATAGTTTCTTGTTGGTGATTCTTTCCGGCTCGGCCATCTGATCTTCAGTATAGAGAGAAGACAGTTGTTGATAAAGGTTTGCAACAGGCTGTTGGAAATATACTTTGTGACCCGCCCGCCAAGTTTCTGATCCGTATAGAAGAACTGACTTGATGTTTGTATCGAAGATCCGAATTTTGTTGTTGATGCTGGCTGAGTCACGAAGATTTCCAGATTGGTTTCAGGCTGATGAATGTGTTTCTCGTCTTCCCGATTCTCGCTCGATTTGACATCCTCGTCCGTTCCGACTGCCTGTAGTTGAGACAATGCTTCCTAGATCAGTAAGTGAATGAAGTGACCTCTTTCAAATCCCTCCCGTTAATGATGATTGGCGCTGGATGTTGCTGCCGTTGTTGTAGGTTGGTTGGTTGGTTATTTTCATAACCTCCATCTTGTCTATGTTCACATGGAGTCCTGTCTTCGCCGGCTGCTTCTTCGAGCAGTTTGTCGGTCGTCGCTTGTAAGTCTACGATTTTGTGTGACATTAAACATAAATCATCCACGCGCGAAATCCAGATCTTCTAGGTTCTTCACGTCGGTCCAGGATATTCCTGTCTTCTCGTTTCCCACTCTCTATCGCATAATCCAGTCAGTCCACCACAATTAGGAATATCATTGGTGAGACACAATAAGCACCCTTGTCTGACTCCTGTGTTTGCTCCAAACGCCTCGCTGAGTTTTCCGTTGTGGATGACTTGACATGTGCCGTTGTCGTACAGCTGTTGAATAAGGTTGATGAATATTTAGGGTACGCCGTAGTACTCGAGTAGTTTCCAAATTACTGCGCGGTCAACGCTATGCTGTCGAAGGCCCTCTCAAATTCTATAAAGTTGAGGTAGAGGTTTGATTGCCATTCCATGCTTTGTTCTGTGTTGATGATGCGTAGAGTTTCAATTTGGTCGGAACATGATTTGCCTTTTCTGAGTCCAGCTTGTTCCATTGGCGGAGTTCTCTATTTAGTGCGTCCTTTATTCTCTCCAGGATGATGCGACTCAGGATTTTACTTGGCGTCGACAGGAGCATGATTCCTCGCCAGTTCTTGCAGTCCTAAGTCGCCCTTCTTTGGTAGTTTCACGAGGTAACCTTTCCTCCAGTCAGCAGGTACCTTTCCCTCCTTCCAGGCCTTTTGCAATAATGGAATCAGCATGTTTGCTATCGTCTCTGTGTCCGCTTTCAGTGTTTCAAGGGGTATTCCATCTGGTCCAGCCGCTTTTCTAGCTTTCAGAAGCTTGATTGCTGACAAGACTGAATCAACTAAATACTATTAATAAATTCATCTTCACCATCTACACATGGCTTTACTTTCAAAAACTATATTCCATGAAAAAATTTAGACAATAGGTGTGGATTCTACTACTACTAATAATAACACCAGTGAATATTGTGGCAAAACAGCTGGGATCATAACCATGGTTAGCCATCAAACAACAAAATAGTATATATATATATGTATATGAAATAGTTCATGGAATGTATAAATCTAGAAATGGAAGACAAAACTAATAAGATTAGTAGACAAATATAAGACCACTCAACAAGGTTGGAAATGGGATTAAATAGGCCATACAATCTCAAAAGATACATTAAATTCACTTAGTAAAAAATGGAGAAGTGAAATCAGATCAGAAGCTGGAAATGTTTGTTTTTCTGTACTTATTTAATTAATGAATTAACCAAATTTCGGTAGATAGCCTCAGTCGGACAGTCCACATGCATTGTTATATATAGTATGAGAAATACATGGAGAGATATGCTATAATTTCACTTAAATGTAATCAGTCATGGTCAGCGAAATGTGCAGATGTTTTACAGGTCAAGTTCAGATAGATAAGAAGTGAAAGGGGTAGGACAGTTTGAAAATTATAAAGGATTACAGTTCAGGTGCGTCACCAGAATAATTAATTAATTATCAGAGGAAGGACTTAAAAAGATCACTAATTGTAAAATAGGTGCGCCTGTGGTCCAGTGGTAGCGCCCTTAATAACGACGAACGTGGTCCGGGGTTTAATCCTCTGCCGATGCACTCCTAAACCTTGCTAACCCGGTAGTAAGGTAGTTGAGAAGGAAAGGTTGGGAGTACGGCTAGCAGTCCCATCCCGTAAAAATAAAAAACAGTGCTACCGAAACTTCGAAGCTCGAATCTTGAAGGCCTGTGTTCCACTTGGAATGTAGAGGAGTGGAGTAGTGAAAATAAATTGTCGAGTGAATAACGATGAGACGAGTTATGATAATGGTACTGACGAAAGATAAGTCAGGACAAGGATAATAGGAAATGGAGTAAAATAAAACAGCAATAATAATACCAGCTGCCTTTGTATGATGCTGTACTCAGATGGTCCCCTAAAAGCAGTTGCAACGGTAGAAGACAAGAGGCTTGGTAACAGAATGTTTGCATTTGGTGTTTGACATCTCTATATAGGTAAAATATGTACACCCTGTCTGAAGGTCGCCATTCACACAGATCTTCTGTGTTGTGTTACTTCCGCCCTTCCCGATGCGTTTCTATGTCTTTTTTCGTGTCTATCATGTTTCACCACAACACTGGTTCATTTGCTCTCTTTGACGTCAAACCTGCTATTTGATATTTTTGTGCAGATGAATGCCACTTCATATACTACTGATAAATCTTGTGGGTAGCACATGCCACACTATATGCAATAAGTGACTATGACAACAAAGCAGCCAAAAACCTGCTGCACAATAAATATAACGAAAAAATATGGGTGGATTGAACTTACAGTGAGGAGACCGTTGGATGACACCATATGCTGAGCTAACTGTCGATTAAAACGCGAACGAGAAACGAGTTGGTTGTTTGAGTGTGATATAGAGGAGGTTGTGTGAGAGTGAATTGAAAGCTTATAGGAAATTATAGAGGCAGCCAAAAATGACTGCAAAGAACAGGTTGAATTAACGAGGTTCGGTTAAAATCCTATTTTCCACTCGCAACCCGTGGTAACTATAATAGTATCAGACAGCAAG